GATCCAGCCAATAGAAATGTCTTTCTCTTTCTCCCTCTTTGTTTCTGTCTCTCCTCCCTGTCTCTGTCTCTTTACCATGTTTTTGTCTGTAACTCTCTCAGATATATAAATGAAATGTTAAAAAAAAAGAGAGAGAGAGAGAGATTTTCAATCTGGTGTGATGGCTCAGTGGCTAAACCCTTACTTTGCATGCACCAGAATCCCATATGGGTGCTGGTTTGTGTCTCACCTGCTCCACTTCCATCCAGCTCGCTGTTTTGTGACCTGGGGAGGCAATAGAGGACAACCCAAAGGAACCTTGGAACCCTGCACCCATGTGGAAGACCTGGATAAAGCCCCTGCCTCCTGGCTTCGGATTAGCCCAGATCTGGCCATTGCAGCAATTTGGAGAGTGAACCAACAGATAGAAGATCTTTCTCTGTCTCTCCTTATCTCTATAAATCTGCCTTTCCAATAAAAATTAAGTCTGAAAAAAAAAACAAGAGATTTACACTTTATGGAAAAAAAAATCTATAAATAAATAAGATTTGTCTCTTAAGCCTAGACACAATGAGTAGTTCAAGCCTGCATCTTAGTATCTAATAATACAATGTGCCAGTAAAGCTTGCCAGGATTCTTTAGACAAATGGCTTAACAAAGGGCAGGGATGGTGAAAGTACAAGCTGAGCACCCAGTGCAATAGCCTATGGCTGAAGTCCTCACCTTGCAAGCACCAGAATCCCATATGGGCACCGGTTCGAATCCCAACAGCCCTGCTTCCCCTCCAGCTCCCTGCTTGTGGCCTGCAAAATCAGTCAAGGAGAGCCCAAAGCCTTGAGACCCTGCACCTATGTGGGAGACTCAGAAGAGGCTCCTCGCTCCCAGCTTCAGATCGGCTTAGGGATTAAATCATTAGACAAAAGATCTTCCTCTCATCTTCACTGTATATCTGACTTTCCAATTAAAAAAAATTCTTTAAAAAAACCTATCTTCAAAAAAAAAAGTACAATTCAAACATGAAACATCTTGGGGTGCCAGAAAGTAAGCAAATTCTCACACAGTAATGAGGACATCATAGACATGCAAGGGCCAACTCTATTTGACTCCCGATAACCAGATCTGGGGCAATTTAAATAACAAAATAAGCAAGTATATGAACACTATTTTGTAAATTGAAACAGATATTGGTGATTCTATGCTTATTTAAATCAGTACTTGAATGTACAAGTGGGAGGAAGGGGAAGTTCTTTACTTCATCAAAGATCTTATCAAAGATGCCACTGGTAGAAATAAAAAAATTACCATTTGACAGGCATCCTTAGTAAGAGTCGCTAATGGTAAGAATCATTAGTGTTTACTAAAGTTTGTGAGCTAAGTTTGAGGAAAATAGAGTATGACAATATCTTGAAGTATTTTCACACAAGAAACTATTCATTACAAAAGTGAAAATTGTAGCTTCAAAGTGGAGAAAGCTGACACCTTAATCACATGATCAAAGTTAACTTCAACAGCAAGGCCTGTCAACATCATATGCCTCCTGATAATGCATGGAGAATCATGGTACACACATCACTTTTATATGATTCTTGCAAAAATGCGTAACTAAATTCAATCATGAAGAGATAACATCCAAACTTGAAAGACCTTCTATACCCAGTGGCCTTCAAAATGTTCTTAGGTACTTTTCAGATGAAAAGAACTAATGAGAGAGCACACAGATGAAGTGTGAGAATCTGAATATATCCTTACTAAAACTGTCCATGAAAGATCAGGTGAAGGCTGTAGACTAGATAATTGTATTCCCAGTTTTGATCCTTACTTGTTTTTATTTAAAGTATTGACATTTGGAGGAATTAGATGAAAAGTAAATTGATGTTTTCAGTACTGGTTTTTTTTTTCAGTGTTTTGGTAAATCTAAAGTTTTGAAAATGAAAAAAGGCTAAAAATGTTCTTGAATGTTTAAATAATAATAATGATTGATGTCTTTTCTATACAAAATGTAGTAAATCTTGCATTTTATCCAGGCTAACAATCTCTAGTTGAAATTTATAATTTGTCATAATTTATTTGAGTTAATCCTCAAAATATGTTTTTTTATTTTCTCCTTTTTTATTTTTCTGTCTTATTTTGCATTAATCAATCCATTTTTGAAAATGCATTTTAATTCTTGGGTTTTAGCTCTGCAAACAATTGGTTAATTTGTATCAGTCATATCAACCACTTCATACAAATTTTAAAGAATCTTAATCTGGGAAAGGTTTTTTTTTTTAAGATTTATTTCTTTTTATTGGAAAGTCATCATACTTGTCTCCTGTGTGATGTCATTTGTATTATCTCTGTGTTTGTGTCAAATCCAAAATATGGTAACGTAATTCTTTCTCTAAGTAGAAATTTGTCCTTTAGAAATTGAGATCTATTTTTTAATTTATTCACATATTACCATTTTTGGTATTCCATATTTTTTCCCTTTGAATTTTCATCTGATGTGCCTCTCAACCTTGCTCTTCATGTCTTAGAGTGTGATCTGCTCATGACAAAATTTGTCTTGATTTGCCAAAAGGCCTCTTTACTTTCCTTTTTCAAGTGTTAATTTATTTGTTACAAAGAGAACCGTCTTCTCTGCTTCTTCACTCCTCTGAATGTCCATGACAGCCGTGTTTGTGCTGAAATGATAATTCGGGTCCTGTATGAGCGACAGAAGCCCAGTTACCTGAGCGACCAGCGTTGCCTCCCAGGCTCTGCTGAAGTCAGCACCTGGAGGCAGACATGGAACCCGGGCCCTGGAGGATGGCATGCAGGCATTGTGACTAGCATCCTGAGTAGCAGCAGAGGAGAGATGTGCATCCCTGCTGTAGTTCTTCAAGCTTTTTTCCCCTTTTTTTCTGTGCTTAAGAGATGTCACTCTCTTGTCTCTTGGCTTCCACTGTTTTTAACGGGAACTGAGCTATCCTTTGTATTGTCCCTCAGTCTGCAATGTATTGATTCTGTCTGGTAAGTTTAAAGATTTTCTCTTTATGTTTAGTTTCAGTATTTAATAATGATCTACCTTCTCATTTTTTTTTCTTTTTTCCAAGCTGAGTTCACCGAGATTACTGATTTTATGTATTTCCAAATGTTGGAAATTTTTGATTGCTTTCTTTTTCACCTTTCCTTCTCACCCTGTTACTGAGACTCCAGTAATACTTGTGCTAGACTGCTTGAAAATTTTCAATCAGGCCTCTTCATTTTTCATGATAGATAAATTTTTTTCATACATCTTCAGGTCCTCGCAACATTTCTCCCATCATCTCTAATCATGTATTGAGCCTACCTACTTACTTTTATTTTATACATTGTGTTTTCAATCATAAAATACACATTTGATCTCCTCTTTTTTAGTTTGCCTTTCACTGCTGAGACTCCCTACATTTTCATTCATTGTGACCTTGTTTTCCTGCTAAATCCTTAAACATCTCTAGAATAGTGTTTAAAATTAGTCTTCCTGTTAGTTAGCTTAAAAATATAAGAGCAGCTTCCTAGGAAAGTTTTTTTTTTACAGATTTCTTTTTATTGGAAAGTCAGATATACAGAGGAACAGAGACAGAGAGGAAGATCTTCCGTCTGATGGTTCACTCCCCAAGCAGCTGCAACAGCTGGAGTTGAGCCAATCCGAAGCCAGGATCCAGGAGCTCTTCCAGGTCTTTCACATGAGTGCAGGGTCCCAAGGCTTTGCGCTGTCCTCTACTGTTTTCCCAGGCCACAAGCAGGGAGCTGGATGGGAAAGTGGGGCCGCTAGAATATGAACCAGCACACATCTGGGATTTCGGTGCATGCAAGGTGAGGACTTTAGCCACTAGACTACAACGCTGAGCCCCCTGGGAAAGGTTTATTTCAGCTTACAGTTTGGAAGCTACAGTTCAGGATCAGGTATTCCCATGGTCCCGTGTCTGGTGGAACATGGTTAACTGTGAATGCAGAGCATTGCTCAAATGAATAGGAAGGAAACAGAGAGCAGTTGGGTCAAACTTGAACTGAAATAATCAGTACTCTGAAAAACCACCCACTGTAGGCATACCCCAGTGACCTAAACACCTGCTACGAGATGTGTCTCTCAGATTCTACATCAGTTCTTCACCCTGAATCTCACACCGGCCATTAACATTAAGACATCAGAGTTTAAACATGTTGCACAAGGTTTTCCCTGGCAAGTCCTCCTTAACCTATAACGCTGTTGCAATTTCTGTCTACTTATCCCAGATCTGGATGATTTTGTGATTGGTTTCTGTTTGTTGCTTTTTCTGTTGATACTGGGTCACGTTTTTCCATTTATTTTCATGTCTGATAATTTTTTACTGTATACTGAACAGTGTAATACCTCATGAGTTTTATTATATTTTCCTAAACAACACTGATTATAGCTGAAGTCCACATGTTGTCTCTGCTTTGTTAAACATCAGCTGAAATCTGTGCTTAATCCTTTCATCTTACTGCTGGCTCTTACTTGAGCGGTTCAAAGATGAGTTAGGGCTTTGGGCGAAGTTCATATATGGATTCCTAAGAGCTCTGATGGCATCTTCCTTTGTGAGATTTTGCACTTCTTTTCCAATTATGTCCTCATCCCCAAACTAGGTCATTCAACTTCTCAAACCAATAACCTTGAAGATTTCTGCTTTCACTGTACACACTGCACACCATGTGGCTGCAGAGTGTTGCCATATAATTAGGAATCCTACCTGCTACATTTGCTAATTTGAAATATTTCACTTCTAGTTTCTGCTTGTTTCTTTTTGCTCTATTTTGCATTTATATTATCATTTTATGGTTTTTCTGAATGTAAAAGTATGGTTTACAGAAGAAATAAGCTAAAATATGCTGTTTGGTCATCCCTAGAGGATGTACCCCATTACTTTTTGTTTTCTATTATTGCAGCAGATGAAACAAAAAAAAATTACATTATGTTTGAACGACAGATATAGCTCATTAAAGTCCTTTAAGGGAATGATTCCTATTTCTAATCTAATTTTTTCTTCCTTCTTTTATAGACAAGAGATGATTTCCTAGGTCAAGTGGATGTTCCTCTTTATCCGTTACCGGTTGGTATAAATGTCTTTGTTTTTACACTCCGTTTTTATTTGTTAATTTAGTAAGTACATATACAAAGTATAATTAATGTAAATATTTTATTATAAAATACATATTGCTTTGATTTCTTGAATATATTATTTTTATCTCATTTTTTATCCTAATTTTCTCTTCAAGACTTCTCTGTAAGAACTAGAAAGGCAAGAAAGTGTGTTGGAGTCTTAAAAGTATTACTTAAGGATAATTGGTTAGAACATAATAACTGAATAATTAGAATGGACATAACCTAGGCTTACAGAAAGAAGTGAAAATAGTCTGCAGAAGTATAATCATGAACCATTGAAGGAAAACAGATTTAGGAACTACTTCATAATAAAGCATTTTTTAAATCAAGTGTCTCACATGAAAGTTGAAAAAAATAAGAGAAATGTAAATACAGGTTGAGCATAGTAGCTAAGGATGGTATTGCTAAAAAAAATAGTGTGAGGAAAAACCAGTTTGTTTTGAAGTACATCGGATTTATTTGTATGTATATTAAAATTTTAATTTTAAAAATGAACATTTGAAGTGTATACCTAAAAGAGCTGCAAAAATAAATTATTTAAGGAAAAGGGCCTGGAATGAAGGAGAACTTTGACTATGCAGGTAACAGCAGAATATCTGAGCATAGAGAACAGTCCAAACAAGAGAATTAAGAACCAACAGCCAAGTAGTGAACTTTAGTCAACGTGGATGGACCAGAGGACAAAGAGAAGTAAGCCAGGAGGAGAAAGAAGGCCAAGCAAACTAATGTCTGAAAAATTTAATAGAAGAGTTTAAAGATAAAAGAGGTGGTTATGACGCAAAACACAGCAGAGACGCAAGTGATAATTTTGTAAAACAATGGACCTTCCCTTGATAGAGAAAATACTTCTTCATTCTGTCAGACTTCTAAGAGTTTTATTGGTGCTCTGCAGTATGAATAAATTATCAACTTCCAATAATCGATTGGATCCAGTCTTACTTTCCAGGCTGTTTGCTTTTTGGTTCTCCTAAAACTGTCCCTGTGCCCACCCCAAGCCAAGCAGCCGGCTGTGTGCTTACCCACATAACTTTGGGTTCCATCATTGAAACTGCTCTGTACTGTCTTTCACCTTGTTCTTTTTACCTTCTCTAGCTCCACAGTTCACCTGTTCAGCCAGTTTTAAACTGAATTGTGATGCTAGCTGAAATTCCTGTTGTAAGGGAAAATTGAAGCACAGTCAGGTTAGCTCATATAGCTGCTTAATAAACTAGCATTATTTTTTTGTCACTTCTAAGTTTAAGTAAGCCTTGAGTCACAGTTTGTGAATATTTTCAATAAGTACATGTTTTTGGTGTTATAGATACATCTTGAAAATCCACTGTTTTATTCTAGACAGAAAATCCCAGAATGGAGAGACCTTACACATTTAAGGATTTTGTTCTTCATCCAAGAAGGTCAGTAAATATAAAATCATAGCATCTTAAGTTTTTTATCTGTTTGTTACAGTTTACAGTAGCCTTTTGGAAACTGAGGTTTAAACATTTATTTTAAAAATTACTTCTAAGTATTACATTCTTTATTTTTAAAGCTTAGTATTGTTTGTATCTTGTTGCATATGCTCATTGCAAAAAAAAATTGAAAATACAGAAACTTATCACACCCATTTCAAAAAGACTTTCCCTCTTAGGATCTGTTGAACTAGAAATTTAAATTTTTTTGTTATTTTACATCATAAAGTTTAGATAACTTTGCCATAAAAGAAAACAAAACATTAAGAAAACACTCTGCTTTAAAAAAAAAAAACAAACAGAAAAATCAGTTCATATAAAGTGAACACCAAGTTGATACTTACAAAGCCATTTTCAGAAAATCCTCACAACTGCATTTTGCACACTTTAATAAAAACAGATTAGAAGTTTTTTTTTTTTAATAAGATGATGGAAGACTGTAATTTAAAGCTCAAATGGGATGCTCATAATCTCATTTTCCTCATTAGAAATACTGGATTTGGGAAAAAATTTTAATCTTTAGGCTATAAATAAAACTCTTCATCTTCTGAGAATCAATCAAAAGCTAGTCAAAACATAGGTGGATTTATTATGAAAAAGTTCAGATAAAGCAGATAAAACTAATCTATACTTGTTTTTTTTAAAATATCAACTGATTCTTTATTAGAGCTATATCACTCCTTCAAAGACATTAAAACATTATTTCAGATTGACAGCCAGTATGCAATTAACTGCACTTAGAATGCTAAGTTATGTATAGATAAAACTGCAAAGAAAATGTATTTGGAAAATGTATTGATGTGACCTAGTAAGAATTTTCAGCTGAAATGATTTTTATGTCACTTGTCATAATAGAAACATTGAAACAACAGAAACAGGATGTGTATGGTGGTGTTTACTCTCCATAAAAAAAAAATCACATATTCAATTCAAATATGAGTCTGCATGTCTCTTTCCTTCCCTTGAGAATGGTTGAAATATCTGCATACAAAAAATTGATATTTCTTCTCTAATGCCCTAGTAGCTTGCCTCTTTGTCAATTGCGTTTTAGTATTTTCATCTTCAAAAATGTATTATAATTTGTGCCTTTCTTATCTGCATTGTTACAGATGCAAAAGCACATTTTTTCTAGAAAGGAAATATATAATTCTGCTTAAGTTTTGTTAGATCAAAATCCATGGGCATATTTCCTGGTTGGAAAGATACAAAGCATAGGTTTATAGAGAAATATTTCAATAAAACATTATGTGAACATTTTTTTTCTGTAACTGCCTCTTACAGCAATAAGAGGTTCAAAACCCTTAACTAAATAAATGTTCAGGATTAGGGCTTGTTTGTTTAGAAAGAAAACCAACATCTATGAAAATCAAAACCGTACAGAGTTAGGATAAACAAAGATTTTATAATTAAGCCTTAGGTGCTAGAATTCATAAGGACAATAGAGAGAATTAAGTCTTAAATGAAAATATTACCAAAGCCAAACTTCAGAAGAAAGTCAAAGTATCCTTATAGTGGAGAGCAACGTTTAGCTTGCACAGTGCATTACACAGAGTATGAAAACAGGTTAGGACAGTTAATATACAGCAGACTCCGACAGCTGTTAACGCAAGGTGCTAGGTTTGTTGACAGATGGTGTTCTCTGCCTGCCTGTTGTCCTCTGCAGAAAGGCCAGGTCATCTCTGAGCATGCTCTCTGGTGCGGGCATTCTCCAGGGCATCCCAACAGAGGCAAACTAAAGTCTGCAAATCCCGTCCTCCCTGCGACTGCATCATCTGGACCATCCCTGCCTCTCATACTTCCTTTATGTACCTTATAATTCAGCCAGACTCAACTACTGCTATTTCCTTAATTACACCTCAGATTTCCTGTCTGTTCCCTGGTTTGGGGCTCTTCCTTCCCCTCCTGTACCTTCCTCCCCACCCCCCAACTGCTGCAGATTGAAATCCTGCCCAGTCTTCTAGCCTCAACTCCTAGCTTCCTTCTGAAATTCTCTCTGAGCTTTCCCTGAAGCCTCCTTAGCATCTTACTTAGTGATAGTTACTTATGTGTCTGTGTTTCCTTTTTATCGACCATCTATTCCTTTTCTTAGATATCTTCCACACTTGAACTTTTGTATGTAAGTGCCCTGGTTGCTACTCAGAAAACTCCCATTAAATGAGTGCTTTTCTTATTAGCGTTAAAGTGTTATGAATAATTGGTTTTTTTTTCCTACAGTCACAAATCAAGAGTTAAAGGTTATCTGAGACTAAAAATGACTTACTTACCTAAAACCAGTGGCTCAGAAGATGATAACGCAGAACAGGCTGAGGAGTTAGAGGTGAGATTTTATAAATATTTGGTTACATCATGAAGGAAATATTTCATTTCATCTTGATTATACTCTAAAGAAAAATAACTATTCAGTAAAATTTAGCTGAACATTTGTTTCACCCAAACATTCACTAACAGTTTTTTTCGTCTCAGGATATTTTTGTGGAAATGAGTGGTCCTTATGCTTAAAGATTAAAGCATTTTTGTAATTAAGTCATACACAGTTTCTAATTTTCAGAGTTCTAAAGTTATGCCATGTTGTCCCTTAAATTAAGAACACAGCTTCATATTTACAAGTTAAACATGTGGATAGTCTGAGGAACTCCACTGATTAGGAGCTCTTTTTAGGGACCTCTAATATATATTACTTTTCCTATCCTGACATGGGACCTCTTAGAAAAGAAAAAGACGCAGAGAAGCAGAGAACATAAGGGATCTGATAAAAAGCCAGATATATTTGGGGCAGTTTTCATGGGCAGCAGGCTAAGAGGAATGGCCAACTGAAGCATTTGTGCTGAGCCCTGGTAAGCGAAGAGGTTGGAGAGTATGTGTTTGGAATGGATTTGGACCCCAAATCCATCGCCAAGGCTGCCACCAGCCAGCCAGATGTCCCTGTGTCAGTCACTACACTGTCCTGAACCTTGGCTGCTTCCTGTTGCAGAATAACAAGGCTCCTCTCAGCAGGCAAAGCCATGATTTAAAACCACACCAAAAACTACCTGCTCTTTGAGATTCCCTTTGAAGGTACATTATTGTCACGCGGTGGCATCTTTCACTCGTCATCGTTTATTGAATGCACAGTGCATGGCACCACATTCCCAAATTGCTTTGGAGCATTCTTCTTAAACTATATGAGAGAGAGAGAGAGAGAGAGAGAGAGAGAGAGAGAGAGAGAAGAAAGAAAAGAAGGAAGGAGAAAGGGAAGGCAAGGAGGGGGTGAAGGAAGGGAGGGAGGAAAGAAAAGAAGAAAAAGAAAGAATAGAAAGGAGAAAGAGAGAGGGAGAGAGAGAATGAAAGAAAGAAAAGAAAGGAATGCCCTATCTAGTCACTTGTTCTCTCTGCATCCTCAACAGGCAGGGTTGGGCCAGGCCAAAACTAAGAGCCAGGAGTTCCATGGAGGTCTCCCATGCTGAGAACAAAGACCCAAATACTTGACTCATCCTCTCCCAGGGTGTGCATTAGCAGAAAACTGGATCACAAGGAGAGGCAGAGCACAGTCCTAGCCCCTTTAACATGGACACAAGCGTTGCAGCACCATCCTGTCCACTACTGGGGCATTCTTTTGGTGCCTTCCTCAGCAGCCTTGCCTCTTTGAGGGTCTGCTTTGAGGGTCTACATCGGGCCATAAAACTAGACTCTGCTCCTAATGGCCTGGGCTTGAATTCACTAGCATATGTTCCTGAAGAAAGAAAGCACTGGAATAGGCAGTGAGTTTGCAACAAAATATTCTGGGAATTTTTTCAGTACACTAGTGACATTATAGTTTGTGATGGGATTTATAGTAATAGAAGGAAAGAACTTTTTTCTTCAGATCTTACGGTATAAAAAAACCTTTGGTGTGACCGTCAGAGAACTTGTTAACCTCTCCAATATCTGTGCTCACTTGATTACATATTTTTTCTTACCCATTTCTCCAGTTTTTCTTACAATGATCACTTTTGAGGTTTTAAAGGTATTTGTTGGGTATAAGTTTCTGTACCTGCCATTCCAGTGCACAGGGTGTCTCGCATAATGAAACATGTGTGTGAGATGAAGGATGGCTAGTACCAAGGACGAAAATCCTTTATTTAGTAGCAGCATTTCATTATTTAGTAACCTGTTCCATGCGCTTCCCGCTTACACACGCGGTATCCCAGGTAGCTCATTCCGTGGGAAGAGCTGCTGAACTGCATTCTATATGCTCATACCTCAAGGTTTGACTTCCCTGGGACTGCACCTTCTCGTTTCAGGAGATGTAATAAGCATGTAGAAGTTTATTTATGAAAGACCCTTGGAATTCGAACACACAGATCTGGGCTTATTTATCTTCTGTGGAGATGACTTCCAGAGAAGCCTGGCCCGGCTCTCTGCCATGTAGTTTAGGACTGAATACATAAAATTCTGTGATGCAAAGAAAACACTTGCCATCTTGAATAGAGACTGGCTCACTCCTAGGCAGTTTGCATTCCTTAGCAGAATGTGGCTGGAATAGTTAGGGAACATGTGGTTTTTGTATCTTTGCGACTTTGTATATGGCAAAACTGGATTATTTTAAAGATGAACAACATTTGTTGTAGTTCTGAATGTCTTTCTGACACCAATTTGTTAAAGGGTGGATACTTGCATGTTAGGTTTGAGGTCTGTTAATAAGGTTCACTGATTCTTTGACTATTATTTTATGAAATATAGCAACTAATACGTGTTTAATAGGAGGAATGTTATCCAGAAACATGAAAACTCAGCCTTTCTAAATGGTACTTAAATGTTCAAGTGTACTTTCCTTGAACTAGAAATGAGATTTTAAAAAAAAAAGATCCTTCAATAAGTGAATATTTCTTTCTCTCCTAAAATTTGCTAGGATAACACAATAAAAAAGCTCTTGAAGAGAAAAATCTTAGCTTTTGGTACCAGTATCCTAGGCTCTGAATATTTTTATAATCCTTTACAGCAGTAGTGATAAGCCTTATGTTCATATACTTATTTAATTTTACATGAAAATAGTCACTCTCAATATTCCACAGATACATTTTTAGATCATTTTAAGAGTGAAACTTAAAAACTGAAGTCATTACATTTTGAAGTGGAGACCAGAAGAATAAAATCAGATTCAGTATATGGAAGACTAATTTTGGGTTGATGACATGTCCTCCATTAGGATCGTTTAACAAGGGAGAGAGAGGAAAGGTGAATGTAGAGAGAGACACAGATTAGGGGCATGAAAGAGGATGGGATTAATGAGAAATCAGTTCCTATGGAAGTAAAAACAAACAGGGTAAGATAGAGTGGGAATCAGTTTTACTTTCTATCCAGATCTTGTTTCCAAATATAATTCTTTTCTGCCTCCTCGCTGCCCTCACCTCTGTCCATAACCTCCGGCCTGAGCCAGCCAGCGTAGATCTGCCCTGTGGCACAGCCCCCATCCTTTCCTCCCTGCGGCCAGGACCCATTCCTCGCAGGGCTCCTCTGCCTGACTCCGCCTGTTCGGGTCCAGCCTGGAGCACAAGAAATTTCTCTCCCGCCTTCTAAGCCGCCCGCCACACCCCCAGTCGTTGCCTGCAGACTCTCCAGTGTCTGGACCAGCAATTCTGGAAATATTAAAGAAGCTATTCTTTGCTTCTTCTCCTAATACCAAAAATGTTTCCTAATTCATCATTGTTTTTAACTTTGACTTTATGGTTTTGCCATATACAAATGTGGGGAGTTTGTAGCTACGTTTGTGGATCTTCTCTTAGATCCTCGGGATTTGATCTCCTCTTACCAACTTAGAATATATTGTACAAATTTCCCAGAGAGTGCTACTTAGGTATTTAGCATTTATGTATTTTTCAACCTGTAATTTAAATCTTACTGAGAGCAGTGACAGAGGGGATACGTGTTAACTTTTTTAACCCCGGGTGGTTACCCGTTTTCTAAGCCATCTACTTTCCTACAAGTTTGAAATGTCTTTAACATATATTAAATTCTGTTGCATTTGACTCTTTCTGGGCTATTAAATCTATTCTCCTGAGCTGTCTGTCATCGCGTGCATGCATGCCACACAATATTGATTATTGTGGCTTATTACATTTCATTCATTAAAGCTAATCTCTGCTTGCTCTTCCTTTTTTGATTTGTGCTAGTGGTTCTTCCTTGTTTGTGTTTCTAATTGAACTTGTGAATTGGCTTGCTTCATTATTTTTTTTAATCCATAATCTAATTTTGTCAAAATCTTGGCAAATTGGTGGATTAACTTTGAAAGTATTGAGACCTCCAGAAGGCTAAATTTCCTAGCCAAGTCATTGCTGTGTCTTTCTTCCCTTAACCTTCAGGTCTTATTTCATAAACTGTTAGGAGGACTTTAACGTTTTCTTTCCTGGTCTATTTACTAATGCATTCCTAACCATACATGGGTGCTTGGTAGAACCTCTTCCCTACCATCTTTGCAATTATGACATTTCTCATAACAAAGCATGTTTTAAACGTGCTGCTCCTTCCTTTAAGCCAGCTAAAGCTTCATGTGCATTTTGCCTCTTTCTAGTCTGTGAGAAAGCACATGTCCAGAACATTTTTTAAAATATTTTATTCACTTTTATAATCTGGCCAGAATGCCTTTCCTTGGTGCAGAAGAAGAATCAGATAAAAGAATCAGAATGACTGGTTGCTAGAGAGTTCACTACAGCAATTACTTCTAATTCACTTGCTCATTTTTGTCATAAAGTTAGCTATTAACTCATGGTGGTTTTTTTTTAATGTAACTGCTGATTTCTACCATAATCAAGGTGCTTTCCCTAGAGTAGGTACACCTGCAGGAGAGAGAAAGATGGGATTCTTGTCCTCTGTTCAGTTGCTTATAATTTAGAGAACAGCCTAGAGTTATACCAGTTTAAATTGTTTCTTTCTCCATGCTTTCTGACTTTGCATCATTACTTAATTGCCTTTTGGCTTTTTTTATTTGCTAAATATGCTTTAAAAATGTTTTTTGAAAAACATTCAAAAGGGTATAAACAAAATCTTCCCAGAAAAGTCTTCATTATCATAAAGTTCATATTTTTGTTTTGAGCTTACATGTCCAATATCCATATTGTAATTTTGAAAGTTTGATGGTGTACTCATCGTGTCTCTGCCGAACCTTCTAGAACTAAATATGTCAAATGTCTTTAAATGTCCTGTAGCATTTAAGGTTTAGAAGTCAAACACCAGCTTGATTATGTCTGTTCTGTTTGCCAGCCTGGCTGGGTTGTTTTGGACCAACCAGATGCTGCTTGCCATTTGCAACAGCAACAGGAACCTTCCCCTCTACCTCCAGGATGGGAAGAGAGGCAGGATATCCTGGGAAGGACCTACTATGTAAACCATGAATCAAGAAGGACACAGTGGAAACGACCAACCCCTCAGTAAGTGCTGCTGGCTTCCATACCTGTACTCTGGGAACAGCTTGACTACGAATTTTCCATTTGAAGTCATATTTCTTAACACCATCATTACAATCTATCTACATGGCATGAACACCAAGAATTTGGAGCTCAGGACTTTAACAATGTTATTTTGGCTGGTTCTTTTTTCTTAATGATTTGATACTATTCAAAATTATCAGAATCACAGATACTACTCCGATCATTACTTCTTACTCTTAATAAACTGTTGATTACAAATGTAGCTCCAAATGGTACGTTTCTCTTTAGATTTGTTTCTTAAACTTCTGAGGTTTTATGTCCTTATTAAAATATAAAGTGTTACTTTCTTCAGAACCTTGTTTACAAGTTACTTGTAAAATATAAAGGGTTTGAAAATAAAGGTGATGTTTAGTGCCCATTTGGCAGTCTGGTCTTACTAACATGTAACCCAGTGAGCACCAAATCAAAAAGAAAATTACTTTCTTCAAACTTCTCAACCCACATCTCCTCAGAGACATTTTTCTTTCACTATCATCAGAATAAATTTACAAATTCTCCCACAATTCATATTTATTGTCAAACTCTCTTCCACCTTTTCTTCCATAGAACCTGATGAAGTCTTTCTTTAATCTTCTCCTGTTTGACATAGAGTTAAAATTTCTCTTAGGTGCCCATCAGCTTCCTAATTTGTGGCTTTGTGTATTGTATCTGATACATGCCAAGAACTTTGCAAAGCAAATCAACAATCCACGTCCTTCGTGGCCTGGAGGCCTTGACCGCTGTAGAAGGGCATGCAAACTGCAAACATGAAGACACCAGAAAAGTCTGCAGAGTTGCTCTCTGGCTTACCTCAGTTTTGTGGCCTACCTGAGTTGAGCACAGTCAGATTTCTTTCAGTGTGGCTGGTGTTGTTTTCCTGGAACCAAGATCAAGTACTTGTGGGGGAAAGCCCTGGAGCTTTCCCTTAGTAGCATCTGTGCTAGCATCTGTGCTAATGGTGTCTTCACCAGCCTCAGCACAGAAAGGACTTGTCCTCAGACTATCCTGAGCTTATATGAAATAAAATAAATGTGACAAATTAGATTTCTTATTAAATATTTGAATAAAAGATAATCTGTCTGACAATCTGATTTATTAAATACAAGTAGTATAAAAAAAACTTATGAAAGACTGGCTTAAGTGTTCAGGCTGATTTATGACATGTTTCTGAAGCTTTTATCACTGTTCTTTTCAGACCACTCTCATGACTGCCAATGAGCAAAAACAGATAAGCTGTTAATGGCATCATTTATGAAGCTTTTAGTTACAGAGTCCTTGGACTCTGTTTCACTCTGCCTTCTGAATTCTTAGATGGAAAACCCTACTTCCGGCTTGAGACCAGTTCTAGAAAATACCTCTAAAGCTGCTTTAAATTCTAATCCTGTGATACATGGCACAATAATAATGTCAGGAAATGGTTTATTAAACGAATGCTCTGGAGTACCCAGTTGTGAAAGACATTATTTTAGATACAGTGATGAAATGAAATATCAAAGTGAGATGTGTTCTATATTTTCACAAAAACTTTAACTCCGTGAAGTACATTGGATATACTGAAGTGTGGCTTCATTTGGGCATGTTGATAATAGCTTTTGGCCCAAAACAATAGATTCTGATCAAATAATGGTATTTTATTTAAGTGTTTGCAGAATCTTTGAGTATCACTTGAACTTCCTTAGCATTTGGTTGATGTCTTTTTATACTTCCAATCAAGGGACAGCCTAACAGATGCTGAAAATGGCGACATTCAACTCCAAGCACAACGTGCATTTACCACCAGGCGGCAGATATCCGAGGAAACAGAAAGTGCTGACCACCGAGAGTCTCCCGAGGTCTAAGTCATTTTCTTGTTCTAGATAATGGGCTCGCGTTACAGAAATGTAAAGCTATGGGTGGTTCAAACTTGTTCTGGTCATTTCAGAACTGGGAAATTATACGAGAAGATGAAGCCACCCCGTATGGCAATCACACCTCCCCGTCCCTTCCACCATCCAGTCACATGAATGCTCAGACTCATCTCGCAGAAGAATTGAATGCCAGACTTGCTGTTTCTGGAACTTCAGCCACCAGCCCACAAGTACCCAGCTCAGTAAGATGCTCTTAGATCTTGTTAAAACTTTGGGGTTTTATAGTACACACACTATTCTATCCAGCAAGTGTTACATGAAGTTCTAAGTAGCATGTGGTAGTGTGTTGGGGACTAGGGAACTCTCCAGTATGGTCATCTTAGAAATATCCTCCCTGATGGTATGAAATAGAACCATGGTAGTCCAGATTGCCAGTAGCATCCAAATGTTTGCCATGTCAGTTATATCTGTCCAAAACCCACCAGGAGTACACATGCAATTGAGCAAGTTGGGTTACTGACTTAGCAAGGGAGAACACACAGCCATCAGTGTGTTGGTAAGAGGCTGTGGGAAAAGACTTAAAGAATTTGTGTACATGCATGTGATTCTGAGGGCCTCTGCTGTATGTTGGATGCTGCGAAGAAGCAAGAGGAATTCTGGGGTTGTGTATATGTTAGTCTGCATTCCTTTACTTGAAAATGCTTCTTGGGAAAGAAGCAGTTTATTTAAGCTTCCAGTTAAGGTTACAGTTCAGGGTCAGGAAGCTCCACAGTTGGGCATCTCAGGGAGGCTGGGCATGGAAAAATGACTCACATGGTGACCCAGAAAGCTGAAAGCGACACTGGGCTAAACCTGAACTCAGATAATAACCCACATCCTTACAGGAACCATGTGTGAACATGCCCTCTCAGTAGCCAAGCCCCATCACCTGGCTTACCTCTTAGAGTCCATCCTCCACCCTTCCTCCATCAGCCATGAACATGAAGTCAACAGTTTGAGCAGCCTGCCTATTTTCAGAGAGACAGGTCTGCCTTTACCCATTGCAGTGTGTCTCAGCTGAAGCTATGATGGACAAAGAAAAAGGCAAATATTATTGACATGTTTTGTTATTGTAAAGAATGCATTTTGGTGTCATTAAACAACAAAACTCAGATATTTCAGAATAGTGACAACAGCATGGATGGAAAGACACAAGGAAAGAAAGACAGTGAGATTTCCAGGGAGGTTCAGGGTCAGGTGGTAAGGCAGGGAGTGGCTGAAGTGAGGAGGATGAGGCAGGTAATAAGATCCCAGAACAGTGGGTTCTGGGCACTTGTAGAGCATGACAGGATATGTGCACGCTGCAGAGCCCATGCTCTCTGGCTGCTGCCTGCAAGGTGGGGAGCAGACTGGGGGTAGGAGTGCTTGACACCAGGGCACCTTCGAGGCCCCTAGTGCCATTACACAGTGAAGGTGAGCTCAAGGAGGACAGGGTGTTTGAGTGCACATAGGAAAGAGACTGGACGGGCTTGGCTGCTGCCTGCAAAAGTGAGAATAGCCAGAAAAGAAACAAGGTTGATAAAGTGTGGATGGGGAATTTGGATCTTGCTTCGGATACCCACATGGAGGGGATGTTTGTTAGACATCCAAGAGCAGGTGTCCAAGATGCAGCGTGGCCCAGAGGGAGACGTGCAGAGGTGTCAGCCATGATGGTGAACAAGGCTCCGTCTCCCCGACATCGCTTCCTTTACACTCCTGACCATTTCCGGGGTGGGAGGAGGGGAGAGGTGTTGCAGTGCCAGGCTCTGAGGTACCCTCTTTCTGTTTCTATAAGAATCATTCCAGCAGAAGAGGCAGCTTGCAAGCCTATTCTTTTGAGGAACAGCCTACACTTCCTGTGGTGAGTTTTGTCCTCTGCCCCTACTCCACAGTAAATGTGTAAACTCAGCAAGTGGGGAGGGCTCAGGCTGAGCCCTAAAGCCGTCAGGTGCTGCGTTCCCAGCATTGCAGTGCCTGGGTTCCATTCCAACTTTGTTCCCAATTCTAGGTTCCTGTCCGTGTAGACCCCAGAAATTAGCTTTGATGACTGAAGAATTTGAATGCTTGGCACCCACAGGGAGATTCAGGTTGAATTCTCAACTTGGGCTTCAAGTGGCCAATTCCTGGCCATCATGTGTGGGGAGTGAACCAGTGGATGAGAGTCCTACTTGAGTGTCAGATGTTTTTTCTCTTTCCTCTCATTCCCTCTCCTGTCATTCCCTCTTATTCTCCTCTCCTTCTGTGTGTGTGTGTGTGTGTGTGTGTATGTGTGTGTGTGTGTGTGTATCTCCCACTCAAATTTTAAAAAATAAACATAGATAGATAGATAGATAGATAGATAGATAGATAGATAGATAGATAGATAGGAAGGAAGGAAGGAAGGAAGAAAGAAACAAAGAAAGAAACAAAGAAACAAAGAAAGAATAGTGTGTGTGTAGTGAGGTCATGTCCAAGTGCTGGGGACTGCAGGTGTGACTTGGGCTCGTCAGCTGGAGCACTGTGCTGGCTGCAGGTCTTCTGTCTCCTCCTCAGGGATAATGCCAGCATGACAGCAGCTTGGGAACATCACAGCTAAGGGGCAGGCTTTGTGGCACAGCAGGTTAGGCAACCACTTGAAATGCCCACATCCCATATTAGAGTGCGGGTTCCAAACCAGCTCCCTGCTAATGCACATGGGAGTGGTTTCTCAAGCAACTGAGTTCCTCGCACTGACTTGGAAAGCCCAGATATGGCTTGTCAGCCTCCTGGCTTCAGGCTGCACTAACCATAGCTCCTGAGACCACTGAGGGAGTGAGCAAGTAGATGGGAAACCGCTCCTCTGCCTCTCACCCCTACCCATCACTCTAACTTTCAGATACATACACTAAAGAACTTAGCACCTCCTGGGCAGCCCTCCTTTCTGAGCTCCGTGCAGAAAGGCCCTGCTGCCCTCCCTCCCGTGCTTACCATGGGCTGCTGCCATGGGCCGATCCTCTCCTCCTGCCAGCCCGATGTGCTGCACTTCTCACCTGGAAAGGGCCTCCTTGTTTTACTCACCACCCTTTGTCATTTTGAAAAGTGGGGTTGCTGTTTGCTCTTTTCAAAGTCCCTGTGTAGGGGATGTAAGGTCTCCAAAGCACTCTACCTGATACTGGCTCACTCACCCCCCAGCAAGAGCTGTGGTGTGAGACAAGGACACAGGTACTGAGCTGAGCAGGGAGGGGTACCTGCCTGGGCAGCCAACACTGACCACCACCTGAGGGCCAATGCCTCCTCCGTGAGCCTGACCCTGACTTAACGTCCCCTCTGTCTCCTCAGCCCAAAGCCTGATGCAGCAGAGGGCACGGTGTTTCTCCCATAGCACCTGGCGGTGTGCTCGAGCCAGCCCAAATGTGGCCTTTCCCATTGAATGACATTGTTCCCCAAAGAAGTGGGATGATTTGTAGGATTTGTCTGTTGCTTGTTTTGTAAGAACTAGGGACAGAGGGAGAGGCTGAGAAGGGAGCAGAGAGAGAAAAAAAAAGAGAGATCTTCCATCCGCTGACTGACCGTCCACACGACCACAACAGCCAGAGCCCAGGTCAGGCAGAAGCCAGGAACCTGGAACTTCACCCAGGTCTCTCGCATGGGTAACAGGAGTCAGAGCACTGGGGTCATCATCTGCTGCCTTCCCAAGCACACAAACAGGAGGCTGGATCAGAGGCAGAAGGGCCAGAGCTGGAAGCCGTGCTTGGATTTGGGATGTCAGCTTCCCGAGTGACAGCCTAACCCACTGTGCCACGACCGCTGAGTGTAGCAGATGAACAAGAGCATCTAGGGCTGCTTTATTCCTTCCTCATGGTGAGAGCTTTTCCCAGGCCTTCTGTTCCTGGTAGACTGGTTAATGAGTCTCTCAGCTCTCTGAGTTATAATTTACATAGCACAGGAGTGAGGGTATGGTTACAAGAATTTGAAAACTACACATGTCACTGCAAGTGAAACAGAGAAGCCCTCCCCTGCACCTCACACACTTCCCTTAGTACCTGCATCTTCTCTCCCCCACTGCTGCCGTAGTCAGACGTTCAGGGAGAGGTACTCCCAGGGTCAGCAGTCTGATGTGCCCGGCCTCTCGCACAGCAACCGCTTTCAGCTCCATCCACGTCCCTGCACGTCTCAGTATAGAAGGAGATGTTACACTTCATTTAGTCACCAGCTGACAATGTCCGGAAAACATGGCAACTTGGAATTGTATTATTTGCCGTCCGACAGCCCGCGCTCCTTGTCAGTGCGACGCCAGCAGCTGCTGTGTGCCTTGTGAACAGTGCCCTGCGTGAAGGGGCTAGTGGAGACGCTCCGGATCCTCTTGGGCCCTTGAGGGAAGCCAGGCCAAGCCTGGAAGAGTGAAGTGGTTTCACAAAGGACAGTGGGCATTTAGCACACGGGCCAGAGTGCCACGTTGGACACCTGCATCCCATCACAGGTGCTTGGTTGAAGTCACAGCTCCGCCATCGATTCCAGGTTGCTACAAACATGTGTCCTGGGTGGCCCAAGTGCTTGGGTCCCTGCATCCACCTGCGATGCCCAGCTGGACTTCCTGACTACTGCCTTCAATCTGGCCCAGCCCTTGCTGTTATAGATATTTGGGGAGTGAACCCAAATGGAATATTTCTTTCTTTCTCTCTCTCCCCTCCCCACCATCCTTCCTCTTTCTTCCTCTCTTCCTCTCTCTGTGTCTTTCTCACTCACACTGCCCTTCCCTTCTCTAGCAAATAAATATATTTAAAAGTCAAAACAGCAAAAGGAAGGCCAAATCTAGTACTGCTTTACAGAAACCTGGAAATAGTGACCCCTGTCCCTAACTCATCTGAAACCAAGAGCGTTTCCTCACCATTACAGAAAAAAGGTCGGGAGAACCTCTGAGTGCACAGGAAATGTGATTTCTGGGTTCAAATCTGGACTCCATTCTTTAGATGCAGCAAATGTTAGCAAGTCATGGCACTTTTTATTCAGCTTCAGTGTACCCACCAGCAGCGTGGACTAGTTTTAGCAGTTATCTCACTATGATTTGTGTAGGGGTTGACGACATGATGCATGTTCGAGCGTTAGGGTGTGGTGGCTGATGTGTTTGCTTAGAGGTGTTATCACTGTCATCATTGTCATCTATTCTAATTTCTTCCCAAATGAATGCAGTGTACTTTATTTTATAACTCTAAGATGTAATTTAAAATGCTCTATTTTACTAAATTAGACACAGATCATTTGTTTTCCATTGTAATAATGAAAAATAAAATGTGTCATTTTGAAAGAGCTAGCAGTGATGCAGTGCGGGCCTGCTTTAAGGATTCATGTCGGTATTTTATTGTCCTGTGTTCTTCCCTCAAGCTCTTGCCTACTTCATCTGGATTGCCACCAGGTTGGGAGGAAAAACAAGATGAAAGAGGACGGTCGTACTATGTAGACCACAACTCCAGGACCACCACCTGGACGAAGCCGACCGTACAGGTACCTGTGGCATGGGAACTAGCTTTCTGGGAGGGTTGAAACTAACTGTAAGCTCTTCCTCCCTCGGAAGTGTACCCCAGATACTTGCAGCACTATCTGATGACAGTCATCCCTCGGCAGGGGTGAATTCCAGGAGCCCTGTGGGTACCGACAACCTGTGCCTGCTCAAGTCCCTTCTAGAAAGTGGCACGCCTGGGTGTGACATGTGCACTTCCTTCCGCATGCTTTAAGCCATCTCTAGACTGCGTACGTTTCATGCTGTGTAGATGATGGTCGTAATATATTGTTAGGAAAATCTGTACATGTTCAGTGCTGATCTTTTCTTTTTTTATAGTAGATTCAATCCATGTTTGAATCCTCAGATGTGGAATCTTCATTTATGGGAAAAACTGACTGGTTTTTGTCATTGATGCCAAGTGGCTACCATTTCCAATGGCTCTGTAAAAGACATGAATTGGCCCTGATAATTCCATGAAACAAATCCATTGGGGACTAAAAGACAAAGTAATAGGGTCAGCTCTGTTGAGTGATTTTGCCATTTGACTCACTATGAGTATTATTTTCCTACAATATAATCTTGATGATTATTGCCTATCTTTTTAAAAACTATATATAACACTTTGTCCTTAGCAAAAGTGAGCACCTTTTGTAGTACTTCCCAGTAAGTTAAAAACATTTCATCTCCTCACCCTTTTTTGTTGAGTTTTTTTTTTTTTAAGATTATTTTTATTGCAAAGTCAGATATGCAGAGAGGAGGAGAGACAGGGAGGAAGATCTTTCATCTGATGATTCACTCCCCAAGTGACCACAACAGCCAGCACTGCTCCAATCCAAAGCCAGGAGCCGGGAACTTCCTCCAGGTCTCCCACGCAGGTGCAGGGTCCCAAGGCTTTGGGAAGTGGAGCTGCCGGGATTAGAACCGGTGCCCACATGGATCCCAGTGCATTCAAAGTGAGCCATTAGGCCACTGCGCCGGGCACCTGTTGAGTTTTTTTAAACAATAAAAAGTGTAGAGTACTGCAAGAAATATTTGTATGCATTACATCCTGCACTGACCACCGGTCACACATTCCCAGAGTCAGCTGCAGGTGCTTTATGTTTAACACACAGTGCTGCAAGAAAAGCGAATTCCTTGTAGCTGTGCCGTGGTCCTGCTCCCAGGGGATCCACTGCCTCAGTTTGAGTGTTCACCTAGCCTGTTTTATACTGACAGAGCTCAGTAATACAAAATGCTGTTCATGCCTGTGTCATTCACATTTTGCCTAGGTGTCGTGCAGTGTGAGTTTAGATCTTTTTTGCTCAGAATTGTTCGAAAGCCCCATCCAGGTTGTTATAACTAGAGCTAGTATATTTCTGTTACCTGCTGTTGACTGCAGTAGTCCATCATGTGTCTATATTATATTTCAGTAATCCACTTCTGTAGGGGCTATTTGCCATTCATTCAGTCAACACAACATTGTAACCCACCACTAGGTATGAAAAATTGACCAGGGCTGAAAGTCCTGAGGGAGTAGAGACAGCCTTGGCACAAGTTGGCACAGGCCCATCAGATGCACCCATGACAGACTCAGCTACCATCTGACCACTTAAGATGGGCACAGAATTTATAAATTGTCACAAAAGCAAGGTTTAACAGATTTAATAGAAATTCTGATACAACAGCTTCAAAACTTTTGCTGAAAAATTAACTGTGTTTGTTAGCAAACCTCCAGGGTTCAAGTGCCATATGTAAATGCATGTTGTGTTCAGGCTCAGTGACCTTTTTAACCACGGTCATGCATGAGTTTTGTGTAAGATACTACAGTGTGGTGTCCTGAATGTGCTAGGCCACGGTGGAAACCAGCCAGCCGCCCTTGAGCCAGAGCGCTCCTGCAGGCCCTCAGCTGCAGATGTCCCCCAGTGACCCAGTGCAGCAGGTGGCCCAGCCAACAGAAGCAGAGCAAGGATTCCTTCCCAGAGGTTGGGAAGTCCGGCACGCACCCAATGGGAGGCCTTTCTTCATTGACCACAACACCAAAACCACCACCTGGGTAAGTATCAGACCATTCCGTGTCAGTTCACAACAATAGCCAATAGCCTCATTTAGTTCTTGGTCATCTGTAAATGTGCATGACCTGTCTAGTATCCAAAGTACATTTATGTCTCACATTTTTTTAAATTGTTGTAGAGGTGTTCCTATTCACTTCCTATTGCCAGTATTTGGGTCCATTAGCCATCATGCACAGGAAGCTACTTAGTAATAATCCTTTAGCCTTACGTGAGACTTGCTGGTTAAGTACCATATCTCATTGACTGCCAGAAATACCTCATGAAGCTAGGTTGAACAAGGATTTTAATTCTAAAATAAGGCTTAAAGTTGTATAGTAGTTGGTGAAAATAGAAAAATTAAAGTGAACTGATGAGCCTGAAACAGCTTAAAGAAAACTGAAGCTGTTAATGCATGATATGGTGAAATACTGTTAAAATCATCAATGAATACTAATCCAAATAAATCAAACCTTATTCTTTTTTAAAATCTGAATTGACTTAAGACAATCTTTGGAGGCTTTCTTATCTCTCCAAAATATTGATACATTTGAGCATATAGGTACCCAAAAGTGTGTTCAGAGGGTCAGCAATAATGTACTCCAGGGTAATGTCTCGTGCTTCCTGTATTATGAAAGCCCAGTAGAATGACCTAATGTCCAAAGAGGAAGGCAAACCCCGTACAGTTCCTGTGGAGGGCAGAGTAAGTGTGAAGTCTTAGGGCTGCCTTGAGTTCTGGAGCCTGTCGTTTGTACGGAAGGCAAAACTATTCTAGCACAGGTAAAGGATAGGAACTATATTAAATTGTAATTAAAAGAGAATATTGTAAATATCCATTGCGATTCAGAGGGATGGCCCTAGAGCAATTTTCATTGTTTTAAAATTGTGTTTTGTATGTGTTGTTCTTTCTTGGCTCTGCCAAAAAAGGAAGATCCACGATTGAAAATCCCAGCTCATCTGAGAGGAAAGGCGCCCCTTGAATCTTCCAGTGACCTGGGGCCATTACCCGTAAGTGTGCAGAGCTGCCCCACCAACTTGGCAATCTCCTACGTTGCTTAGAAATATGGTGGTTCTAACGGTATTCAACTGTTTAAACAGTGGTTTTAACATGTGAAATCAGTGTCAGTGTTAACCTGTTCATGCCTTCTGAACCTTTAATATACAAATTAAGCTAATGCTCAGACCAGTGATATCTTTCTGCCTATAAATCTGAACCCTTCCTAAAATGTCTGAACTGCATCTTAATTACAGCCAGGATGGGAAGAGAGAACTCACACAGATGGAAGAATATTCTACATAAATCACAGTATGTACAATGTGGTTTTTTAGCACTTTCTTTTTTTTTTTTTTTTTGGTAGTGCTGAATTTTGTGCATGAGAAAAAAACAAAGTTTTGTTTTGTTTTCCCTTCAGATATTAAAAAGACTCAATGGGAAGACCCTCGGTTGCAGAATGTAGCAATAACTGGACCAGTAAGTCTCTGTTTCTGGGTGCTGTGATGGGATGGACCTCTCACCTGTTTCTACCTGGTTCTTCAAGGACAAGGGGTCAAGGGCATAACCCTACAGGCATTGAGAGGGACGTGTGTGCCATTCTGTCCCCTTCCCACTGTCCTCACTCCAAGCCTTCGTGACTTGGAAAGGTAGAATAAAGTCACTGTCTTGCTGCTGCATGGTGGCCTTGAGAGACCAGAAAGGAGAAGCCGAGTCCAGCACCTGCCACTGTCTGCAAACCCACGTGGTCCATCCTTGGCAAGTGAGAAGGAAGCCATGCTGGGCAGGGGAGGGAGCAGCTCAGACTGCGAACTTTTTGGCGGAAATCGCTGTCCATGCCCTTCTGGAGGCACACCCAGCTTCAGGCATGAATATTCCCATATGTGGTGAATTAACCACCGCTGAATTAGGTTCATGATAGGAAAGCCGTCATCCTCTGTAACACAGAGAAGTAAATTTCACACAAATAAGTAAAATTGAAGATACACTTCTTTTAGATTACTCTGTCGCAGTTTTGATGTGCGGTCTTTGAAAATAATGGATAAAAAAGGCAGCTGCTCCAAGTTCAAGGGAAAAGTACATTTTTCAAATTGTTGCTCTAATGGAGAAATCACTGTGAAAGTCCTTTTAGAAATGGAAAATTTTGTTTCTAATATTTCTCTGCTTGGAAGAAATTTCCTCTTTCTGGCTTGTTGCATCTCAAGAATATTACATGATGAAAATTACAGCCAAAGGAATTGCTGCACAAAACTTTACCTTAAACAGAGAAATTAAAATTTTCTTTTAAGTTTTGTCCTTGTTTGGCTTCAAAGTAAACTTTTCTTTTCTACAGTCTCTTTTAATGCCTTTCCCTTTTGCTCATGAAATACCCAGAAAAGAACTTTTTAAATTGTTCCAGAATAAAAACAACCTAAACTTTTTCCAATTTTTTTTTCCAATTGAAGGCAGTGCCCTACTCCAGGGATTACAAAAGAAAGTATGAATTCTTCCGAAGGAAGTTGAAGAAGCAGGTTAGTGATAACACGTAATATGTATTTAGCAACCGTGATCCTATAGACCAACAGTAATGGGAAAAGCAATGGAGAACGTGTGCTGTTCGTAACAGTTTGGGGTGGATAATTTCTCCCAGGAAAAGGATGTGTGTTTGGTGGCTGTTAGAGGGGCATTCAAGATCAGAATTATTTTATAACTCTGTTTATTTTTTCAAGATGTTTTACACAACTCAGAGATCATATTCAAAGTTTGTATTAAAGAGCTGTGACCTGGTGTTCCCTCGGGGGATTTGTGGGATTTGGTTTCTGTAGGATCTGAGCTCAGGAGATTATCTTCTGGCCTCATCTTTGATTGTGTTGGAGGACCTGCTGCATTCCTGTCCTGCTCCGACTGTTATTTTCCAGTGGTAATTATTCGTTCTCTAGGCTTCAGATACCACACATAACAACAGATTTTTGTATATGTAAGTTCAGCTGTGAATGGAATAGTGATCATGTGACTCAACTTTGTGTGCTTATCAGACGTCTTCTGTTATCACACATTCAGTATGTCTGGAATTCAACTAACTCATCATCTCCCTATCTTCTATTGGCGTCTACCATTTTTTAATGCCTTTCTCATCTGCTCCTTTCTGCCTTTACCTGCAGTTTAGGAATACCACCACTAGGTGGCAGTGATGAGTTACGCAGTCTTTCAGTCTAAGCCAGAAGCCTACTATCCCAAAGATCAAGATGGTGGATCTGCAATTAGAAAGTTTTCATACATTAACAGTGGGCAGCCTGCTAGTGCAGGCACCCACATCCCATATCAGAGCACCTGGGTTCAATACCTACAGCTCCTGACTCCAGCTTCCTGTCAGAGATGACTCTAGGAAGGATAGCTCAAGTACCTACATTCCTGCTACTCAGGCATCTGGCCTGCCCACTGCAGTGGGCCACGGCAAGCATTTGGGGAAAGAACAGTGGATAGCAGATCTCCTTCTGTCTGCATCTCTTCCTCTCCCTCCCCCTCTTCCTCACCCTCCTTTCTCTCCATGCGTCTCAGACAAACCAAATATATAAATCTTAGCAAAAATGAAATATGATAGTTTTTTTAGTATGACTATTTTATGGCCTACCAAAATACTTCTATACCAGCAAGCTTTTAAGTTCATCTTTAAAAATAACTTAGTGTCAAAATTACTCTGGAAACTTTTCTACTCCTAGGACTTGGAATTGTCAATCATATTTTTTTTATTATGGTAAATATTTTTATTCTGTAAAAGCTCATCGACTTTGGTTTTAATATGAGAGTCAAGAAGAAAGGTACTAGCCACTGGTTCACACTTCCCACAAGCACACAGCAGCTGGGACTGGGAACTCGAGCTCAGTCTCCCATAGACGCAACTGCTTGTCCAGCACCTGCTGCTTGCTGGCAGGAAGCTGGAATGGGGAACAGCGCTGGGACTCCAGCATGGGATGTGGGCATCCCAAGCAGCCGGATGCCTGACGAGAACGCTGTGATGGAGCGGAAATGCTGCTTCTCCATTGGCTGAGCATGTGTAAGCATGTCACACATCTATGCGTGCCTTCTAGGCAACAGGAGGCAGGACACAAGCCCTGTTCACAGGCCACAGAATGCACAAACCATAACGAAAGCACTCATGTTTTCTGAACTCTCATTCCTTAGCAGCGCTCTTCTCGGTAGGATGTAGTATTCATTAAAGCTCTATAATGACTGTGCAACGAAGGAGCTGTTAGCACATGCTACAGGAGAGAAAACCAAGGCATGGAGAGGCTAGATTATGTGATCAAGTCCTGGAATGATTCAGAAGGAAAGTCAGATTCAGACAAATGGTTCCTCCCCACCCCGCAGAGCCCATGTTCCTGACCAGCTCATCGTGTACTGGGGATCAGGAGACAGGCTGGTGGCAGGCAGCACACAGTCTTCAACAGCATGTGAGAATGAAGCTGGAGACACAAAGAGGTCCCACAGAGTGTCAGAAGCAGCAGGGGGAGGCCCAGGCCCCAGATCCTCGCTGCAGCAGACAGCCCCTAGCTGGATGCTAAAGGTGGAGTCCCAGGAAAGCAGTTAGCCCAGCAGTGAGAGCCCCCCAGCCCGGGGTGGGCTCCTAGCTCTGGCCACTGACTCTAGCTTGCTGCACATGTGGCCTCCGGGAGGCAGCAGTGACTGCTCCAGTCTAGGTTCCTGTCCCCCACATGGCAGACGTGGAGTCAGTTCTCACTTCAGTCCCAGCGCAGCTGTGTTGGGGGAGTGAACCACTGGAGGTGATTTTCCCTATTGCTCTCACACTCTGCAATAATCAAAACTTCTAAAAACAAAATCCACATGTGAACAAATCACAGCAAAAAAAAAAAAGGCAAAACTTTAAAACAGATGAAAAACACTATTGGAAGCAGGTGCCTGAGCAGCTAACCCTTTGTTCTTCCTTCTCCAGAGTGCCTTGTGAGTTAGGACTGCAATGGCTAATGTTGAGCTCATCGTGTGTCAGATTCCTCACACACACTGTCAGTGCACTGTGCCCTTACAACTCAGAACAGCTCCATCGGGAAGCTGCTTTCCCTATGTCATCGCTGAGAATGGTACTCCTTAGAGGAGACATGTCACTTGCCTTAAGCCACGCACTTGCTAAAGGCAGAGGCAGGTTCTCAACATAGGGCCTTACTTCTCCATGCACGACCCCTCTGCCTCTCCATTCAAACCCTGTGGTCTCTCCCACAGCCCTCTCCTTTTGCTGCTCCATTACAGATCCCATGTGTCTCTCTCCCCGTGTGAGCTTTCCTGGGGTCTTTAGCTAGCCTGTGTGCTTCTTGTCTTTACTCCTTAAAGTCAAACTCTTTTATTTTTTAAAAGATTTATTTTCATTGGAAAGGCATATTTAGAGAGAGAAGGAGAGACAGAGTAAGACCTTCCATCTACTGGCTCATTCCCCTCACCACCACCACCCCCCCCAAAAAAAAAACATGGCCAGAACTGAACCGATCCAAAGCCAGGAGCTAGGAGCTTCTTCCAGGTCCCAAGGCTTTGGGCCATCCTCTGCTGCTTTCTCAGGCTATAAGTAGGCAGCTGGATGGGATGGAATCCCAGCTCTTAGAGGTGGATTAATCCAGTTGAGCCAACACACCAGACCCTGAGACCACACTTTGTACCCCCTATCCCATCAGGTTCTTAAAACCCAGCAGAAGGATCGGCAGTCTGGCTTCAAGCTGCTTTTCAATCGTGGATGGCATCTCTGCCACCTTCTTTCTCTTCCCCATTTGTTTTCTTTCCCCTCCTTTCCCTTCTGCGTCTGCTATGCCCTCTGGCTGTTAAAGATATTGCATCCCTCTCCTAGCACTGCTTTGTAAGCTGCCATTCCTTTCCTGTTCTGTTCCAAGACTTCCCACCAAGACTTCTTTGCTGCCTCGTCCTCCGTCAGTAACAAGCCTTTTTTGCCCTTAAGTGCTTTGCTTGTGTCTCCATGTTTAGCAATTGTCCTGCTCTTTGAAGATTCAGAGTTAGTAGTTTCACATGCACACACGCACACGCACGCACACACACACACACACACACACACACACTGCACTAGACTCCTTGTGGAAGCAGCCCCTCTTCTGACATCGGTTTGCTACATTTTCCCCTCATGCCCAACCCGTCTGGGGTACCCACCCGTTATGGGGCCTAACCAGGAACAGGTGAGTAACGTGTGAGCACCGGCTGCCTGGCATCCAGCTGCATGCAGATCCTGTCTTGCATTGTGTTAACCTGCATAGGCAGTGGAGGGAAGGGCTTATGTTGTGCTCACCCTGCGAGTGCGCTGTGTTTCTCCTTCTCCCAGCATTTTTGCTTCCTGAGGTTTCAGTTACTCATGATGAGCTGCAGCCTGAACACATCAAGTGGAAAATTCCAGAAATCAGCCACTCGTTTCTCACTAGCTTTTGTTACAGGAGAGTGTTATATTATTCCTAGTGTTACTCTCTTAATGTGCCTCGTTGACAAATTAAACTTTCCCCTAGGGTATGTATGTGTAGAGAGAGCATACACCAGTGGGGTTTGGCACTTGGAAGGGACCCCCTGTGGGACAGGGCAGCTGCGGGCCAAGCTTTCAGTTACTGTGTTTCTGTTGGACTTTCCCTAAATACATTGAAAATAATTTTGTTTTCCTTAAGCCAACCCTGTTTCCTTTTTTTTTTTTTTAGTGTTGAGTGTGTGTTTTAATGATTTCTACTTGAAAACTGCACACACAGCACTCGGGAGTAAGATATTCAGATACCTGGTTGTGCATCTTATAACCATGTCTGCCTGAAGGTTGGTTCTAAACACAGCAGCACACAGGCCATGCAGCAGCGCAGCTCAGCGCTGCACTTCAGGAACTGGAGAACCTTCTTAGCTCCACCATTCCTCCACCTGAAAAATGGAGACGTTCCTGGCTTTTTTATAGTCTGTCATGAAGAGCTCCTGGCTTAGCCCATAAAAATAATTAAAATTGTGTCTGGTACAATCGGTCAATGTTAGCATGATAGATGAAGCAGAAGAGAGTCCGAGGGAGAAAGGTGACGGGCAGGGAAACAGGCGAGCAGTGGCAGACAGCAGCGGGCCTGTGGGACACACATGGGTCTTCACTGGGAGTTGGGATGGAAAGGACTGTTGATTGAATGAGCGTTATCACCACAGTCACCAGCCTCTTCAAGTGGCAGTGTCACAGGTGTGTGTTATGACATGGTAACTGAAAATGTATGAATTCGTTCATACCATGGCAGCAGGACTGGTGTTGTGGTTAAGCCAGATAAGCTGCCACCTGTGCAACTGGAATCCCATATGGGACTGCCGGTTGGAGGCCTAGCTGCTCTGCTTCTGGTCCACCTTCCTGTTGATACGCCTGAGGAAGCAGCAGCGAATGGCCCGGGTACTTGTGCCCCTGCTCCCCGTGGGTGGAATTCCTGCTCCTGGCTTGGCCCAGCCCCAACCATTGTCGCCATCTGGGGAGTGAATCAGGGATAGAAGTTCTCTCTCTCTCTGCCTTTCAAATAAATAAGATCTTTAAACACACACACACACACGCCCTTGCACACGCAATGGACTGGCTGTGTTGTCCCTGGCATTGCAGCAAAGGAGGAAGCATAGCAAGTATTCAGACATTCCTGGAGAGGTGATTCGGCCATGCCGTCGCACTGACTTGAATCGTGTGTCCTCTCTGGGTTTCAGAATGACATTCCAAACAAGTTTGAAATGAAGCTTCGCCGGGCGACTGTCCTCGAGGACTCGTACCGGAGGATCATGGGCATCAAGAGGGCGGACTTCCTCAAGGCCCGCCTGTGGATTGAGTTCGACGGGGAAAAGGGATTAGATTATGGAGGAGTCGCCAGAGAATGGTTCTTCCTGATCTCCAAGGAGATGTTCAACCCTTACTACGGGTTGTTTGAGTATTCTGCCACGTAAGTCCCCTGACAATGACTGACACAGCAGTAGAATATCACCTCCACTTTGCAAGTTGCAGATTCACAGGATGCAAGGGAGATGTGGGTGTCGGCTCCACCAGAACAGAGGTCATGACTAGCATTTGCAAAAGGGCTTGTTACAGATTGTCACAACACGCGGCTGACATAGGATTTCCCATTTCGACCATTGTGAGCGTGCACGATGGTGTCTTACACGTCCACACGGTTGTGGTCCCATCTCCAGTGGCCACCTCCAGACCGTGTTTGTCTTCGCACAGTGACCCCAGTAGCCTTACACGCTGCCTTCCTGTTACTCCCTAGTAGCACAGTTCTCCTTCCTGTCTTTGTGAATTCAGCTGCTTCTGTTCCCAGTTGTAAGTGAAATCACACACGTGTCCTTTGCCCTGGCACATGTTACATGGCATGATATCTTCAGGATTCATCCACGTCAGAGTTGCCTCACTGAGGCTTCAGAATATCCCCTTATTTGTGTGCCCTGTGTGGCGTTTATTATTTCAGGTGACAGGGGGTGTTGTTTATTTCCACCTTTGGACAGAAATTACTCTTTTTTCAAACCATTAAGCCCCATGGTCAGATGTGGTTCTAGAGGAAACCATGGATAATTGTTTGTCCCGTGAAGCATGTTCTCTGTCTTATCAGGGGAGCACTTAGTGGGCTTCTCTCTGCAGGGATAATTACACCCTACAGATCAATCCGAACTCTGGGTTGTGTAACGAAGATCACCTCTCGTACTTCAAGTTCATCGGCCGGGTAGCTGGAATGGCTGTGTATCATGGCAAACTGTTGGATGGTTAGTACCAAGTGTCAAACTTTTAAAAATGTATTGATTCATTTTCTTTCATGTTGTAACCATTCTAAACGTATTTCATTTCTCCCCCCAAAGGTTTTTTCATTCGCCCATTTTACAAGATGATGCTACACAAACCGATAACACTGCATGATATGGAATCGGTGGTATGTCTTTGCATTTGTGTAAAGGAAATGTGATTTAACAAGCAACTGAATAGTTTCAAGAGTTAGCTTTTAATGATATGGAAATTAATAAGTGATATTTCAAAATACAAATGAATCTTTTCCTATAAAAATCTCCTAAACATAAGCAGGTTTAAAGACTGCTATACAGTGCACACTTATATATCAGACACTTCAGAGTTTTTAACATTCCTGTATTTATTTCATCACAACCCTATCCATCTACACATCCCTTTACCCATTAGTCCACCATGGTTGTTTAGGCATTTCGTGGTAAGCTGCAGAAATTAGTAGGCTTTCCCCTAACCACCTGCTTTGAAGCAGTTCTGTACTTTTGCATCAGTGTTTGAACTGTGAGCTTTAGTGGTGCATTTTAATAGTGAATGGCATGTATTTTACAACTAGCAGTCCTGAAACCTCGCCTTGCAAATAAGCCCGTGAAAGAAACCAAGTTGCTGATTAAATCCCTGCAGGCAGACTTAACTCTCTCAGTACCCAGTGCTCTGTTTCTGTTAGTGCCCTCAGCATGATTTCTTCATTAATCAAAAAACCACGGCTCTTTCCGTTGTTTCGTTGAACTTCTGCTGGGGCCAGGTGGGGACAAGGCCCTCCTGGAGTTACTTAGACCTCTCCTGGACCGCTCACAGGCCCTCTGAGAAAGGGTCCAGGTGCTCCTGGACTTTGGTGGGAGTTGAGTCTTACCTGAAAACTGTTTTGTTCAACCCTCTAAGTGGACAAGAAAACCTGCACCACTCCTGCTTTCCCTTGGAACAATTTCTAAACTTTGAAGCAGGCACCACTCCACTTCCTGCTCTGTGTGTGTGTGTGTGTGTGTGTGTGTGTGTGTGTGTGTGTGTGTGTGTGAAGATACCCACCTGACTCTTTCATCTCTCACCCGATCATTCTAGCCCTTAGCATCTCCCTCCCTTTTTTTTTTTTTTTTCAAGTTCAGGTGTCTTCTTTATGTAAGCACATTTAAATTTTAATTTTTTCCCATCTAGGACAGTGAATATTACAACTCACTAAGATGGATTCTTGAAAATGATCCAACAGAACTGGACCTGAGGTTTATCATAGATGAAGAACTGTTTGGACAGGTTTGTAGATATTAATCAGTGAAAATGGTACATGAATGGTGGGAAGAAAAACCTTACAACTGAAGTCTCGATGTTAGTACATGCCTCGACAGCTTTCTGTATTTTTACATTTATGTTCCACTAACAAAAGCTCTCAGTAAGAATTGGTGCTTTTTTTGACTCATTCCTTATTTATCTTACTGAAACTAATATTTAAGTTTTCTTAGCTTCTGGCTTTTGAATGGATTTAATTTAAAACACTAAGTTACTGGTATAACTACACTATCTGTATCCTTTAACTCTTTCTCACTAAAATAACATACCAAGGTATTATGTTTAATTTTAGACACATCAACATGAGTTGAAAAATGGTGGATCAGAAATAGTTGTCACCAATAAGAACAAAAAGGAATATATTTAGTAAGTATTTTATTAGCATTTTACTGAGAATCATTTTATACTTCTAAGATTCTTCTTATCTTCTTTCCCCCACCCCAGAGTCCCAGTGTTGGCATTCTTTTTATATCTCTATACTAATACAGTATTATAAATTAATATCAACTTTTGGTTTGGGCCCAGCTAGCCTTTATTTTTTTTTCTAACTAGAATATGTATGACTTAAAATTGTTTTTCTTGGTTCATGAGAAAAAGAATGAAATGTTGGTTTCTTTTTAGTCTTGTCATACAGTGGCGATTTGTAAACCGAATCCAGAAGCAAATGGCTGCGTTTAAAGAGGTATTCATGTTCTTTTGTTTTCTGACTCATGATCGCAAAGTGTAACTGTGAATTTCAGACCTTAGACCTTGTCATATCTGAGCAAAACAAGCACCTGGCTGACTCTACAGTACCCCGAGTTATGCTTTGATAGAAACAGCTGTTCCATGATTGGCTGTTCATGGGTCACAGCATCCAGGACTCTAGATATGAACAGGACAGTCCCACGCCCCTCCCAGGAAGGCACATGTCATAGCTCAGGCTCCTTCCAAAACAAAGTCACATCATGTTGTCATTTTTTTTGTCACCCTTATCAGGTATTTGCTAGAGAGTTTTATGTGCCCAGATAATTCCTTGGCATAATACCTTATTGCCAAAATACTACCTTTCCTTATAGCATTACTTTTAAGTTATTTAAACTTCTCCAGTTACTAAACATAGAGGCTGACATCAGCAGGTTCATTTCTTAAGCTAACAAAACCATCTGTCACATGCATGAGGACTTCAAAACTGTGGCCAAAATTGGCATTAAAATATAAAATGTGGGACTGGTGTTGTGACCTAGCAAGTAAAGCCACCACCTACAACAACTTAACCCATATGAGTGCCAGTATGTGTCCTGGCTGCTCTGTTTCTGAGCTAGCTCGCTGCTAATGGCCTGGGAAAGCAGTGGAAGATGGCCAAAGGCCATGGGTCCCTGCATCGGCATGGGAGACCCAGAGGAAGCTCCTGGCTGCCGTCTGTCACAGCATTAGCTGATGTGGTCATCTGATGTGAATCAACAGATGTAAGATCTCTCTTTCCATCCCTTCCTCTCTCTCTCTCTCTCATAACTCCTTCAAATGATTAAATAAGTCTTAAAAATTTTTTAAAAGATAAAAATTACTTAAACAAGGGAGGAATAATGTTGTACCACAGCACTGCCACCTGTGATTCCAACACCCATAATTGAGCATTGATTTGAGTCCTACCTGTTGCCCTGTCAGTCCAGCTCCCTTCACTGTGTCTGGGAAGGCATGGCAGATGACCCAAGTCCTTGGGCCCCTCCGCCCACGTGAGAGACACTTGTGGACTTGGCCCCTGGCTTTGTTCTGGCCTAGCCCTGGTCATTGTGTCCATCTGGGGAGTGAACCAATAAATGGAAGATACTCTCTTTCTCTTTCTCTGTGGTTCTGCCTTCCAAAGGGATAAATCTGAAAAGAAAAAAAAAAAAAGAAAAACATTAATTTTCAAAACCTTGTTTTTTCAGTGTAACTTCTTTCAAGTTGGTGAGAGCGGACAGCCAGCATTCAGTTCACCCTTGAAGAAGTGAGAGCCTTGGCAGTTCACCCTGTCAGTGTACTTTTGTTTTCATATTGTTAGCTGAAAAAAAAAAAAGTAGGTGCCTTTTATGAAACAAAAAGAAACGAAAAAGTCAAACCAGGAGTACAAGATGATGGAAATGCTCAAGAAGCATCCTTTGGCTGATGGAAGGCGAAAACAGGAGGGTGTCCCAGCAGAGCAGCCTCTCCCCTGAGGCTTCCTGGCATTCTTGTGCTAAAGCTCTGGCCGGGGGCCTCAAAACTCTGGCATGATAAGCACTTGTTCCTGTTCTTTGGCGCTCCAGAAAACCAACAAGCAAAATGCTTTGAACACCCCTGCTTAATGCATCATGACTTGTGCTTCTGACCAGCCGACCTTGCCTCTGCCTGGATCCCCATACTCAGTCTGGGCTCCCATGTGGGTAGCAGAGGCCTGGCATTGGCTGAAAATGGACCCCTTCCATCCCCTGGCGGCCATGACTTCATGCATTGTCTTTAGGTTCTGGCTGGTGACGTCTTGTTTTACCTCCTGTATCATTCTTGGAAGAAATCCTTCAAGATTCTCATCCTACTTGTTTGACATCTCTGTTCTCTGGGTGTAACGTTTTGCCACCTATACGGCAGAGAGTTAACTCCACTGTAACGTCTTGGTCAGAATGGTCTACCCTCAACCAGCAAGGGCCCCTGTTGTTTCTGCTGTTCATTGCCAGTCCTCTTCGGTTGGGGTGTGAACAGGATTAGGTTTCTTTGCTTCCAACCTGTGTGCATGTTCTGCCACGAGGGGCTTCACCTTGAACTCTGTGAAGATGTGTTTGAACAGTCTGTAGAGTCCGGATTTCTTGGCAGCATAGCCCCTATAAACATTTGGTAAAGCTTTGGGGATTCTACCATCCTTCCACCAAACTTCACCATCCGCTTGATTTTTTCTTTTTTTAATTTTGTTGCCATGGTGGTGGTTGTGTAAACATTTCTTTTTTTTTTTTTTTTTTTTTTTTCTTATTTATCTAAAAGCCTAAGAAAGCGAGAGAGAGAGAGAGTTCTTCTATCTACTGGTTCACTCCCTCTGTGGCTACAGCAGCCAATAGCCAGGCCAAAGCCGGGAGCCAGGAGCTGCATATGGATTTCCTACATGGCTGCAGGGGCCCAAATGCTTGAGCCATCTTATGCTTTCTTTCCCACATCAGCAGGACGCTGGATCAGAAGTAGAGTAACCAGGACTTAAACTGGCACCTCTATGGGATGCCAGCACAGCAGATGGTGCCTTAACCCACTGTGCCACAGTACTGGCCCCTGTTTGATGTTTGTCCTTGCTTGATACTGCTCTGATAACAATAAAAAGACTTATTTATTTCAAATGGAAAACAGATAAAATTTACAGAGAGAGAAAGATCTTCCAATCTGCTGGTTCACTCCCTAAATGGCTGCAAAGGCTAGAGCTGAGCCAACCCAAAATCAGGAGCTAGTTCCACCTCGGTCTCCCACGTGGGTGCAGAGTCCCAAGGTCCTGGATGATTCTCTACTGCTTTCCCAGGCCATAAGCAAGGAGCTGGATCAGAAGTGGAGCAGCCAGGATAAGAACCGTCGCCCTTATGGGATGCCAGCACTTGAAAGTGGAGGATTAAGTAGTTGAGTCACTGCACTGGCTCCTCAAATGCCTCAAATTGATCCCGGTCCTATGACAATACAGATTTGAATGAAAACAAATTATGCACTGTGTTTTCATAATTATTTTCTATGAAATTTTGAAGACTTCTCATAGGCATCACTGCTTTTTCCATCACTGTGCTAAGTGCTGTGCTAGGCAAAACCCACACGCTCCCTGCCAGCAAGAGAAATGGACAGCAGCAAGTGTCAAGGACCACTGAGCACAGAAGGGAGGTGCAAATCCAAGCAGGGAGAGGCAGCGGAAGGGGCCAGGACAGAGCAGTGGACCTGGCCAGCCACAGGAAAGGCAGACACGCCATTCCAAGCGGGGGAGCCGCATGTGTGAAGTGTAGAAGGGGACTGCCCAGAGGTACACTGTAGAGAACTTGGCAGCTTAGGCTGCTGGACCAGAATCCAAAGCAAGAGACGGGGAGCAGGTGTGCTGGGCGGGGCAGAGCTGGATCACCAGGGGTCAGCGGGCAGAGAATGGGGTGGAGTTGCCTCTGCAGTCCAGTGTAGGGAAGGAATGGAGTGTGAAAGGACAAACGGTGACAGCTCGGGATTCCAGGCACATCGAGCCAGGTCCTTCTGGAAGTGGTCTGTAAAGTGGATTAGGGGATGCTGGCAAATTCGCAGTGTTTGTTGGTAGTTCCAGGGGCACAGGGCTATATAGAGGGCAGATGCCAGGGGAGCAGTGGGGGCGCAGCTGTGGAAGCTTGTGTACCTTCAGGAACTCGGCAGAGCTGGGCAGGAGCAAGAGAGGTGTTTGCACATTTTGTTTTGAAAGCAGGTCAGGCCAGGGCAGAGTGAAAGATGTGAGGAATGAGCTCGCTGCCCCCTGCAGTGGATCCAGCAGGGCCTGCACCCAGGCCCAGGGGCCCGTTCTGCATTACCAGGTAGAAATGGGCTGGTGTGGCGGAGAAGGGGCCGGAACTGTGTGAGGTTGGAAAGCAACTGCTTGGAGGCGTGGGAGAGAGCACAGGCTCTGGGATGCTGAGGTCTCAGGCCAGGGCCCTGGAATTTTCTTGTTTGCTTGTTTTTGTTCTTATGATAGAGTTTGTTAGGCTCTGGGAGCTCCCCCTCCTCTCTCAGGTCCCCCCTACACACACACACACACACACACACACACACACACACACACACACACACACACACACACACACACTCATTTCCCCTTTATTACTACAATGTATAGTTCTTCATAAACAGTCAGAAGTTCATCATTCCTCTAATTTAAGTGTGTGCTGACATTGTGGCCATGTTTTGCTCATCTTTAAAAAATGGCTCTTTCCTGTTACAATTTGTAGGGGGTTTTTTTGTGTGTCAATTCCATTTATTTTTGCTGTGAACTTGCTTCCTGTTCTTTTAATAAGTCCTTGAGATGCATCATTAGATCATTTATTTGAGACTTTGTGGTTGTTTGTAAGTACCTGGTGTGATAAATGTCCCTTTCAATACAGTTTTTGGCTACATCTCATGGGTTTTGATATTTTTGTTTTTATTGTTATTTCTTCAAAAAAAAGTTGCTTTTTCTCTTATTTCTTCAGTGACACATAGGTCACTGATACAGTACCACTGTTTTCTTAAAGTTTTTTTTTTTTTCATTTCTTTAGTGGCGCCTAGGTCATTCTGTAGCATGTTATTTAACTTCATGTTGCTATACATTTTGTAATTTTCTTTCTTTTGTCAATTTTGTTGTATGGCTTTCCATTTAAGGGGATATATAGTCACTGTATAATAGACATGGACATTGGACTACACATCCAGATGTAAAGACACAATGCAGTGTGCACCTCAACTTCCGAATTGAAGATGGACTGCCAGTGAAACTGTTGAATGTATCTTGACAGTAGGATGCTGGACTCTGCCAGGGCCCTTGAATATCAAGCAGGAGAAGTGGATGTGGTCGTGGGATCCCGCCAATAGTATCCAGCAGCTGAAGTCAATAAGACAGCCTTTGCTCCCCCACTAACCACCTTTAAAATGGTTTTTTTTTTTCATCTCCCACTAGGGATTTTTTGAACTAATACCACAGGATCTCATTAAAATATTTGATGAAAATGAGCTAGAGGTAAGAAATACTATTTTTATGCTAACGACAGGAATCATGTACCCATGTCTTGTCTTGGTTCTAAGCTTGCCACCTGTTACTGTACAGCTTCTGATGTGTGGCTTGGGGGATGTGGACGTGAACGACTGGAGAGAACATACCAAGTATAAGAACGGCTACAGCGGCAGCCATCAAGTCATACAGTGGTTCTGGAAGGTAACTGGAAACTTCTGTCTTCATACGTGACTGTTTGACAAACTGGATCACATTTAAGTCAACTCTGCAGCTGGCCCACATACAGCTAGTGCAGGAAAAAAACCACAGAGCCCAGCAAAGATGAACCTGGGCTTTGCAGTTACTGTACACCTCCTGGTGGCCCCCACTTCCATTCATATTTAGAGATGAGTAAGGAAAATGTTGATATTTTAGCAAGTGTTAATTTTGAACAGATAATGCACGTAGCATTTTTCCTAGAGAAAAGACTCTCCAGAGAACTGTGGTAACGTGTGTGTGTGTGTGTGTGTGTGTGTGTGTGTGTGTGTGTGTGTGTGTGTGTGTGGTGTGTGCGCGCTTGGGACTCCTGTGTGGCTCTGTTACTATCGCAGAGAGGACTACAGCTGACACTCCAGGACTCCAACACATGTACTTAAAGAGTCACAAGCCATGGCTGAAAAGAAAATTTTGTCCGTTTATTAAACTCATCCATGTTAAAGAGTTTGGCCATCTGATCTTGGATCAAAAGACTTTGCAAACAACTCATAAACAAAGTTAAAAAATGGAAATTGGGCACGGTGTGGTAGCCTAGCAGCTAAAGTGCTCACCTTGCATACACCAGGATCCCATATGGTTGCCAGTTCTAATCCCAGCAGCTCCACTTCCCATCCAAACCTGTGGCCTGGGAAAGCAGTCAAGAATGGTCCAAAGCCTTGGGACCCTGCACCTGCATGGGAGATCCAAGAGGCTCCTGGCTCCTGGCTTTGGATCACCTTAGCTGTGGCCTTTGTGGTAACTTGGGGATTGAATCGATGGATGGATGATCTTCCTCTCTATCTCTCCTCCTCTCTGCATATCATACTTTACCATAAAAAAATTTAAATGCAAATTTCGCAAGTGGTTATTAATAGTCTAAATTGATAGCATAATTTTTCAGGATTATTTAACTCTCTCTCATGCCATTCTCTAAATAATGTTTTTCTCTTATCCAGGCTGTTTTAATGATGGATTCGGAGAAAAGAATAAGATTACTTCAGTTTGTAACCGGCACATCCCGTGTTCCCATGAATGGATTTGCTGAACTGTATGGTAAGGATTTTCTGCAGATAGAACAGTGGTTAAGTGTCCTCTGCATAGCTAATCCTCCAGTCTGTCATTTACACTAATGTTCAGCTTAATTAGAAAAAAATGGATATTTTTAAGTGATATCATTAGCACACTTAAGTAAGCTAAAATGTGCAAGTCTTTGCACCTAATTAGGGAATGAAAAGGGCCCAGCCCAATGGCTCGGTAGCTCAATCCTCGCCTTGCATGCACCAGGATCCCATGTGGATGCTGGCTCATGTTCCGGCTGCTTCACTTCCCATCCAGCTCCCTGTTTGGGAAAGCAGTTGAGGATGGCCCAGAGCTTAGGGACCCTGCACCTGCTTGGGAAACCCAGAAGAAGCTCCTGGCTCCTGGCTTCAGCGTGGCTCAGCTCCAGACATTGCTGCCACATGGGGTTGGAATCAGTGGATGGACGTTCAGTGTGTCTCTTCTCTAAATCTGCCTTTCCAATAAAAATAAATAAAAAGAAAGAAAATGAGAAAACTGCAAGTATAAGATAGCTTTGGTTACTTTCTTGAATGTTGTTTTTGTTATTATTTATTAATTTTAAAGGCAGAGAAAGATGAGAGAGTGGTTTGCCAACTGCTGGTTTGCTCCCTTATCAGCCAGGACTGGGCCGACCAAAGCCCAGAGCCCAGGACTGCGCCAGGTCTCCTGTGCAGGTGGCAGGAACTAAGTACTTTGTCCTTTACCTGCTGCCTTCCAGGGTGCTGGCATGCCAAGCAGTGCTGCCCCCGTTACTGCCTTCCAGTTTACATTCTAATGCTACTAAGCTTCCATTGCAGAAAGAGCATTGTTTCTAGGATCGTAGTTCAGTACTGCACTTAAACTCCACAGTGTTAACAAAAAAGTAATATCATAGGTGGAAATATGTTTTGGGAAATACTCTGCTAAATAAAGCTGAATAGATTTCTTCAGGACTTGTTCAGACTTTGTGCAGAAAAAGAAAGAAAGAAAAGCAGAATTTCAGAACTTATTTGATCATGAAAGAGTTTTCCTCTTTTGTGGTAAGAGGAGCCTCTCCTTGGGCTACTGTTCCACATCATTTTGGGGAAAGTGGCAGAATTGGTGATGAGTCTAAATGTATCTGGTGACATTTAAAACAGTTAGTGCAGCTTGTCCATAAAATCAAATTCTATGTATCTACCAAGTTATGTTCCAGTAGATTCACAGAGATGTGTTTTCATTAAAATAAAAATGCTGCTTCCCACAGATTCCAGCAACTTTTTTTTTCCACATTGATTGTTACTCTGTCAGTTGCAATAACATGACTTACTTTAAAAAGCAAGAACAGGGCCTGGCGCAATAGCCTAGTGGCTAGAGTCCTTGCCTTGAGCACACGGGATCCCATATGGGCACTGGTTCTAATCCCAGCAGCCCTGCTTCCCATCCAGCTCCCTGCTTGTGGCCTGGGAAGGTAATGGAGGATGACCCAGAGCATTGGGACCCTGCATTCATGTGGGAGACCCAGAAGAAGCTCCTGGCTCCTGGCTTCCGAACGGCTAGGCTCTGACTGTTGTACCCACTTGAGGGATGAACCATTGGATGGAGGATCTCCCTCTGTCTCTCCTCTCTGTGAATCTGCCTTTCCAATGAAAGTAAATAAGTCTTTGAAAAAAAACAAAAACAAGAAACTAGATCTTTCAGAAAAAGTGCAGCCAAAGTTGGCAACAAATATCATTGGGGACTAGAGTTGGGAAGTGCTGCTCAGGTAGCGACTAAGGTGAATGTTCCTGCAGATTAAGGTGACGCTCCATGGGCAGTGCTTAGCCCCGGTTCTCCCGGAACAGCCTGGTGCCCTGTGCAGCTTTATCTGGGTGTGTCTGCAGCACCTGTCAGGCAGTGCCTGCCTCTGCAGCCACTCACAGTGCTTAGCTGTGCCACTAACCAGTTCACCCGTTTCTTGCCCACTTGGATTCCGTAGGCTTCGTGTTTTTATTGTCTTCACCCTAAACCCCTCCTCTTCCCCGGCCAGGGACAGTCACAGCGGAGCAGATTCCCCTGTGGCGTCTCCAGCCGCTCCTCCCTCTGCAGCAGGCCACAGCCGTCCACCGAGCTCATAAACTGGCTAGAATTAGCTCCACGCCGGGAGCCAGAGATGTGGGAGAACGTAAACATGCATTTTTGTGTAGTTACAGAAAGAACTAGAAGTTGTTTCAGAATGTTCCTATTTCAATGCGATATTACCTGGCCGATAAGTAGCAGAAAGTTTTTAATCCATTGACTTGGAATAATGACAGTTGATTGTTTAGGTCAGAGAATCAAGAGGCAGAGAAATATGCACAATATGATTTAGAAAATATGGAAAATGATGACAGATATTCATTTTCTTAATTGAACATAATTGAAATGGGTGATGTGTGAGAAGTTATGTTTTTGAGAAAGTGTGAATATTGAGAATATTAAATACTTTTAGTCTTTCTTCTGGCAGTTAACATACACTACACATTTGGATATGATTATAAGACATGAAGAGAAGTCTGGAAAGTTACAGATTGGGTTGTCAACATCAATTACACGGTAGCTAGGGGATGTTGAGGATTGGAGAAGGAAAAACAAAATGGAAACTCTAAAGGGAGAGGAAGAGCTTCTAAAAATGTCCAAAATAAAAGAAAAATGTAGACTGTATAATATGACCACATGTACATGAAATTCTCTCTACCTGGGCTCAGCATGAGTCATGGCAGGATGTTTATTCAGAGTCCATGGTTGGAATGAGGGGTTTTTTTTTAACATCTTTGGGTTTTTTATTATTATTAATTTTTATTATATCCAAAACAGAGAAACTGGCTCCTCACTGGCTCACTCCCCAGATGTCTGCATGCTAATGCCAGGGGCCCAGAACTACATCCAGCTCTGCCCGGGGGTGACAGGGACCCAAGCTTGTGAGCCATCATTTGCTGCCTCTCAGGGTAGACAATATCAGGAAACTGGCTCAGAAGTAGAGTAGTGACGACTCCAGCATGTGCCGCATCACAGCTGAACCACCGTGCCAGGTGTCTGCCCCCTCTTGCATTGTAGTCTATAAAGTCTATAGTTGGTTAGCACACCAAAGCCAGGGTGGCACAGTGGTCACAGATGAAATGGTAGATGAAGCACTCTCACTTTATGGCCGCGTGGTGGCGCCCCTGAGCACAGGGCAGGCTTCATTTCTTTGAAAAGCAACAACAAACCAACCAGCCAGGTTAGCCTGTTGGATGTCCAGGTTCTCCACTGGGAAAAGTGAGTTTTGAACTGCTGACTCCTGTGTGGAGGCAGAGAAGCTGAAGAAGCTCTTCCTTCCTCCAGGCTCAAATGGACCACAGTCATTCACCGTGGAGCAGTGGGGTACGCCGGAGAAGTTGCCCAGAGCTCACACCTGGTAAGTGGTGTAGTGCTTCCCCTACACGCACACTGGCGCCCCCATCACCTCACCCTACCCCTGCCACTGTGAGTGTAGTGCTGGCGGGTCTGGCTCCCTCTGGTGCTGTGTAGGAGGAAGGCAGGGACTCTAACCCAGGCACAGGTGTTTCTCTGCCAGTAGACCTGGACTTGAAGTCAGGTACCTGAAGACTGGAAAGGTCCATCTGACTGTTGACTGTCGGTTGCCTCTGTCTCCTGAGTGATGGGCTATCCCAAGAGTGCTCCAACCTGACCTGAAATGGCAGTTGAGGCGAAAACTGAACTCTGCCCTGGAGTCCTTGGGCTGGGCAGTAGGGAGGGTCATGCCAAGAGTCCCAGCCTCCCCCGCCACAGGAGGAGACCCCTGTCAGTGTGGTTGGAGCCCATTCACCGTTTCCATAACCACACATGCTTTGTCAGCACCCTTCCTAACCAGCTCCTCTCTGTGCTTTCAGCTTTAATCGCTTGGACCTGCCACCCTATGAGTCCTTCGAAGAATTGTGGGATAAACTTCAGATGGCCATTGAAAACACTCAGGGTTTTGACGGAGTTGATTAGATTACCAAGAGCCATCTGTGGTATTTTGCTCCCTCCATTTTATAAACAAAATCTTGACTTAAAAATTTTCCAGGTAACTAAAACTTGGCCGCTGGTTGGAGAAAATTATATTTAAACACACACATTGGAATAGCCCGACAACTTTACCATTATTTTAGTCACTTCGGTATGTTGCATTTACACAGTTGTTGCATCCTGTCTTTACACTAAAGGATATGAGCCCTGTGTTTCTGAAACAGTCTTGCCCTTGACATTGACCTCTGTTACAGTATTAGCCAGGCAATTCTTTCTTAAACTACTGAAATTATAACTGTGAAACATTTGTGATAAGTGTCATGTGTGAAAAATTTGATGCTTTTTGAGAAGGAAACCTGAAATTGGAGGGGTCTGGGTGGAATAATGCTTTACTATTTAGTAAACTACAATATATCGACTGCTATTTGCAGCTATTTATTTTCTTGTACCCCTGCCTTTTGCACCTTACTGCCCATATTTTTAGAAAGAAAAAAAAAACTTGGAAAGTGCATTACTCTCTATTTTTAGTCAACTGACTCACTTGCAAAAAATTGTTTACTTCACTTGAAAAGTATGTGGCTCTTGTGAGTTTGCAGTTTTTGTCGGCCAGGTGACACATACGCCGTGTGAAGCAAATTCTTAATTGCGGTGGGGAAAAGTATTAAAGTCTTTCCCTTGCCTTCACAGCACAGAATTCTTTGGTATAGCCATCTTTTTTTTTTTCATGTTTTCATGTAGTTAGAATTCTTTCAAACATTACAGCTCTAGAAGCAGTATTTCTAAGTATGACTTGAAGAAGTAAGTTAAATGTATAGTAAGTACCTGCCTTTACAATTCATTCTTTATACTTGCACAATTATGTAGTAAATATATGTTTACAGGGTTTATTGTGTTTACAGGCTAAGCTAATTTCTGTAGTTGCATTTTTATATTTTTAGTATCACTTTAGTAAGAAAAAAATACTTTGTTAAAAAATAACCAAAGAATCGTAATGCAGAATTTGTGTTCAATTTGTTACCATATTTCTTGTGCTTTTTTTAAAAAGAAAAATACTGTTTACTATGAAAATGATGATATTTTGTTGTAAGTCCAAAGCTCTTAGGGAGAATCCTGCTTTAACCAAACTCAAGTACAGAATGACATGTGCACGCATTCGGCGAGCGCTTACTGAGTGCCTGCTGTCCCCGGCACTGCGCGAGGCCCCAGGGGTCGAAGTGGTCCGCTTCAGAGAAATCCAGCTCCGTTCTCATCCTCAAGGAACATGGACGTACGTACATGAATGCGTGAGTCCAAAATAAGGCCAAAGGGAAGTGTTGTAGGTTCCAAGGCACCTCCAAAGATACAGGGTATACGACTCCATGCGTTCCTGTAGAAAATGGTTCTGGAAAAATTAAACCTATTCCTCAATCAATCTCAATGGCTTAGGAGTAATTGTAAATATATGTTATGAATCTTCTGGCATATATGCATATGCTCTATGAGAGTTATAAAACTGTACTCTGGCTCTTCCTGGCTTAAGTGTGTTGAGATATGGTAGCATGAGTACCTGGGAGAGATCTCAAATGTGACAGTGGTAAAACCACTTTCCAAACAGCACAGCCTCAGTGCAGTTTAAGGACAGGATCCACGGATCGACGCACCCGACCCCACCCCGTAGTGTCTTCAGCAGCATCAGCCAGCGCTCCAGAACGCTGGCCAGGGCCAACCTGGCTGTTGTCTTGCACCTGTGTGCACTGAACAGCATGACCTCTCTGGGCTCCAGGCTCCTCCTGTTCATCTGCCGTGTGCAAGTAACTCTGTCCCAGCCTTACTGTCATCCCAGACTGTTGGATGTTCCAGAGATAAGAGACCTGGCCCTGGGATCTGTGAAGGACTGCGCGCCATCAGAGGATGTGTGGAATTGGCCATCAGATTTGGCCCCATCACGGGCACATATTGCTTGTACCCCAGAGAAGCATCTCCTGTGAAACAGCAAGGAGCCCTCATGGACAAGGAAGTAGGAGCATGTCTGGCACGCATGCCCAGATGGGTATCAATCTTTATCTCTAGGCAGATCTTACCACCAGAATTCTTTTTCCCCACACCAGCAATGCTGTACTCCTATGGGGCAGTTAATTTTGGAAATGTTCTCACTGCACAGAACTGAATGTGAAAACTATTTTTTTGAAGCAGAATTTTACCAAATGATTACTCAAATATCACTTGTGTAAGTTACAGCAGTCGCCAGAGACTGAGGAAATGCAGAACCTGATCTTGCTGCTCAGAAAGAACCTGGTGGGAAGGAAACCAGATTGTCTCCTAGCAGCTCCCAGCGACCATCATTCCCTGCTCTCCTGGTGTGGGCTGTCAGGCCAGAGGAGCCGGAAACAGCCCCTCGTCCCACATCGACAAGTATCGGCTGCCTTCTGTGGGCGAGTCAGGAGGGTCATGTTCAGCAAGCGACAATATCCTAGTTTTCTAGGCATTATAAGCACATCACTTGAGCCTATATTTTTCTCTAATCAAAAAATCATTAACAGTTATATTACAAGCGCATTACATCATAGCCAGAATCCAAGTGGAATTTGTTTCAGTTTATTTATAATGGTGACATTATTCCATCTAAGATTCGAATATAAATCGTTTTGATTATAAACCATTGACATTTTTTAAAAATCTGAGATGGAAATATACCAAGATTAATATGCCAAAATTTGTTACAAATTTTGTAAGATCTGGATTTCACAAATAAAATTCTATTCTAATTTTAAACGAAACCCTCTGCCTCATTTTTTGGAATGTTAAATAGAAATGTTTCCAAGCCCATGTACCAGGTGATGTCTTTCAGTGCAGCCCTGTGCAAGACAGCTGCCTTCTCATGGCAATCTTGAGCTTGTTACTGGTGAACTAACATGATTATAAACTGTTAACCATAGGTAATTCATTTCCACTGTACCAAATTTTTTTTTTCCAAAACTCTGGTTGTTAATAAGATACTCAGAAAAGCAAAACACAGAGAAATGGCTGTCTGGCACAATGTTACTCAACTAGGAGACCAACCCTGGCTCAGGACAGTGTCACTGAGTATAACTTCTGTGAAGAAAGCTTTCCCCAGTGGGTATCTGGGGGAGCGAACCTGCTCGCTCTCTCTCTCTCTCTCTCTCTCTCTCTCCCTCCCTCCATCCCTTCCCCACCCCACCTCCCACCTCTAGCACTTTGCCTTTCAAATAAATCAGCCAGTCCATATTTTCAAAACATCTTTCCCTCCTCCAGCCCCAGGAAGCTTCCCACCCAGAAGCAAGTCCATTCAGTGCACTCCTTCAAGTCCACCTGGGAAGGTACTTTTTCATCCCCAGGTTTCTGCTGAAATCCAGACCATAGGTTTCATCCCTGGGCCTCAGGCCATTTCATAGCTGCAGGAATATGGCCCATGCCATGCCTCTCCCACCCAGGGAGCACCTACTGTGTTCCCCCTGCACCTCACATGTGCATGTGACAACTGACATTAAGATAAGGAGTTAAAATCTCAGGACCCCATTATGAATCAAGGGCTGAGGGGGAATTGCTGTGTATTTCCCTTGAAAGCACAAGATGCTTACGGCACAGAATCTGTGTCCACGGCTCTCTCTTCCTGCATTCTCCAATCCAGCCCCTCTGTCACACACCAGCATGTCCTTTGTAATGAACAAGTCTGATCAGGTTACTGCCAGAAGACCTCTGGGAGCTCCACGGCAGAAGCGTGAAGCCTGGTGCTTAACGTGGAAGGCAGTCTGTCCTCAGCCTAGGGATCAGTTCCAACCGCATATCCTGCCTTGCTCCAGCACCCTCCATGCCCCCTCCCTGCAGACGTGTGTGTCGGCTGTGCCCGGAATACATGCACCCCACATGACTACATGGGGAAGTCACCGCATTTTGGCTGCAATGAGAGGGTGCAGTGGCCTCAGCATTTGGGGTGTTCCGGCATGAATGACACTGTACTATAGTTCTTTGTGGAATTCTTGCCTACAAACTCCTGGACTGCCTGAGAACAGAGCAGGATTTGTACACTTCTTTTTCACATATTCATTTATTCATTTTCCAACACAAATGCCTGATGAATTTGATCTGATAAATACTGTAAATACTCCGGGTGAATAAAGCACACGCATATTGAACACCCAGAATGTACTGAAACTGAAATGGTACACAGCAAAGTCTGTGTTTAAGCAGACACTGGGGACTCTAAACGTGTACACACAGACAGGGAGTTTGGCTGGGAGCCTGCCAAGCGCCCGGGTCTGCCAGTAAACACTTTATGTGGATCCCATTTAATCTTCATAAAAACACAGTGAGGCAGCTTTTATAGGCTCCAGGACAAGTAACTCACCTGAGGCCACACAGTTTGTAACCTCAGTGGATAATGAATCACAACAAGGAGAGGAGCAGTGGAATCCTACAGTCAAATGTCAAGGTGCATTAGTTTTCTGCTGTACAAACTTAGCAGCTAAAAACAGTATCTATTTTCTTATGGTCAGAAGTCTACGTGGGCTCAACTGATTTCTCTTCTTAGGGTCTCAAGACCAAAAACCAAGATGTCAAGCAGCTGGACTCTTAACCCGCTTTCATGGTCCTCTAGATTGTTGGTGGAATCCATGCCCCGATGGCTGTAGGTCTGAAGGTCCTGCGTTCCTTATCACCTGGGGGGAGCTCTTCTAGATATCGCCCCACCTTGCTCATCCTTCACTCTTCCCCACCTCCAAGCCAACATTGCATGCCTCGTGCTTCAAATCTTGAGGTTCTACACCTGCAGGAGTTCTCTGCCTCTTTAGGTGCACTTAAATAAGTTAGATGCAGCTGGGCCATCTCCCGGTGTGCACTGTGCCGTTGGCAGAACATGGCCACCACTGCAAGATCTCCAGTTCCCAAATCGTGGCACTTTGGGGGCATGAGAGCGTCCAGATGGGTCCCAGAAGATTCTACCGCCTACACAAGATGAAAGCAAAGGACAAAAAGGTAACGACGACAGAGATTCTGCCTGAAAAACACTTTGTCATTATACATTGTGCTCTTCGGTTTCTCATTCTTGGTCGATAGAACGCCAGTTGGATAAACTAACAGCGGCTCATAGAATTCAACCTCGGTGGGTCTCAATTCACCAGTCACTACCACTGGTTTCCGTATTTTTCCTCAATAACGTTAGGGTTTAATTGCCCTGAAATTAAAATCAGCTCATCCTGATGAGCTTCCATATTCTATGTAGAGACATCTGCTTTTTTTGTTTGTTTGAGTTTGGTATTCTTTCTAGCGAAATAGGGTTTGGGGTTATGAAGTGGGTCCAAATCAAAACAGAGCCAAGAAAGGACAAAAACAGTTCACAGCCCAGAGTTGCTCATCATTTATCATGGATGTATTGACACCTGCTTTAAATATCCAGCAAGCAGGGTGGGGGAGGGCCTCCCAGTGCCCCAGGAACCGCCGGATCCTGAGCAATCTCACCACCCTGGAGCTGTGTTTCTTTTCTATCCTTGTGAAGTTAAACAGAGATCAAAGCTGTAATTCTAGGTCCAGGAGCCACCTTCATTTCACGACTTGGGTCCTAACTTCATTTCTCTTAGGAAAAATTATTATCAAGGCCAATCTCATGCCTTGCTCAGAGTTGTCCTCAATAAACACATTTTATAAATGAGAAATTCCTGTGGCGTCTCTCAAACTCATACGAAGTAATGAGCCCCGTAAACGAAGGATAAGCTCAGTTTAAACAAGTGGGATTTTCATTGATTCAGACTTGAAAACACAATCCAGATTAATGACTTTCTTAATACTCAGTCACTGGGCACCCGTCCAAGTATAGCATAAATATTCTCCCAGACTCGATGACAGTGAACTATCTGATGTTTAACCCTCGGAAGGGATAACCAGCTTCTCAGTGATGAATGGCGAGCAGCCAAATAAGTTTGCTTTTTCAGTATTGTTTGTTGTAAGGGTGTCATGCTTGTGACTGGATGTTGACGGCCTGTGATTTTAAGTCCTGAGGAATTCAACAGGAATTTTAGCCTTGCCTGCCTCCTCGAGAGACGCAGAAGAGAGAAAGAGGAGGCTCTGTTCACGCAGTGGTCACTGGACCCCTGGGGTATCTGTGGTTGCCTCTGGCGTGAAATGTGTATACTTGTCCTGTTGGTATCTGGGGATGGTAAAAGGGATTGGGGGGCTGATCGTAAGTCTGTCTTATTAATGCAAGCACTGTAGGACGAACTGTGGAAAACTGGGGAAACCTACAGCCACATGGAAATACTTCATAAGGTGTCTAAGGAATTGAGACCTCAGCTTGTCCGGCATCATCCAGGAGATGCCCAATCCAGGTAACACGTGTCATTTAAAATTTTTCTAGTAGCCACATTTTAACAAGCAAAAATAAATGCACAGTTAATGGTAATGATCATTTTTATTTAACTCCTATCCAAAACAACGTTTCAAGGTGTAATGAGCTCATCAAATTTCCAATTTCCTTCAAATTTTACAGCGTATCTTAAGCTTGCAGCACGTTTCAGTTCATATTGGCCACAATTCATGTGGTGACGTGTGTCTGATGCTGCCACATTCGACAGCCTTGGAACAAATGGATCTTAGACCGGAGCGTCACCAGCCTCAAGGTAATAGAAATAGCCAGGAAGTGTTCACCTGGTGATGTGCTGAACTAACTTGCTCCCTCCAGGCAGGTTGCCCCTCAGCTCTGATACTAAACGTGTTCCATGTTCTGGGGCCTGGAGGGAACTGCAGGGAGCGTGACACTGCCGGCACCACTGCTGGGTCTGGGACGTTGAAAGCCCATCACCAGGACAGGTGGAGATGGACAGGGCCTGGGGTGGTTTGCCAGAGTGGAACGAAAAAAAAAAAAAAAAGGTGGTGGGGGGTGCGGTGGAAGGGATCAGAAACCGAGGGTGGCGCTGAGACAGGGCAGTGGGGAGGGGAGGGCCCTTGGCCAGGAAGGAGTGCCACAGGGTCGCAGGGGGTCACCTGGGAGCGACCCTCTGTGGTGTGGCGGGAAGGCAGAGACTGTGGGAGCGGCATCTGTTTATTTTTTCTGGTGCGAGGAGAATAACAAAATGCCATCGGGAGAGCTAATGGGCTGCAGATGGAGAACTTCTGGCTGGGAGCTCGGTCCAGCTGAAGCCTTTGAACTGCACCCAGCCCTCTAATTTTCAACAGTGTGTGTGGCCTGCGAAAAGGAAAAGAGTGACATTAACGGAGTGATTCCTCAGAGATAATTATCAGTTACTCCCAATGGGTGAGGCAGCAGAGGTTGCATTGGGCTGGAGCACTAGCAGGGGGAGAAAGAAAGAAACCGTGGAAAGTCTGATCCGGAGCCCATCAATAAGGGGGGAAGCAATTAAAACAATTTACAAGCTAAAAGGGTGGTACGATTCAGTAGGAGAAAACTTTAAAAAACAAATTCATGGAAAATGGAATGTAAAGTTTATTTTGGCACAAAAACATTGTTTTGAAAATTCTCAGTTTTTTTCACAAAATGCATTTGCGTGAACTTCTTGAAGACCCGTTATATGCGCTAGAGAGAGATGTCCCACATGCTAATTCACTCTCCAAATGGCCATGCCAGGCCCAAGCCACAAGCTTCTTCCAGGTCTCTCGTGTGTGCAGTGGTCCAAGAGCTTGGGCCATCCTCACTGCATTCCCCTGGGCATTAGTAGGGAGCTAGATCAAAGTGGAGCAGCTGGGACGCAAAACAGCACCTACATGGAATGT